CTGCTCCTGTTCTCAAGTCCTGCTTGCAGGCTTCTCATGGACACCTGGTTGGCCATTGTGAGAACCAGATGTTGGACTAGATGGGTCATTGGCCTGATCCAGCAGAGTCTTCTCATGTTCTTATATTCATATGTTCTCATCCAGCAGGCTCTCCTTATGTCCTCTAGAGGCTGCTCATGTGTTACATTGAATGCAGGTGAAACCTGTCTCTACGCATGTATAAGTGTTTGTGTGAAAGGGATTTGTTGATTTGGGCAGCTCAACTATTCCTGCACACATGCACTCAGACTTTACACCGGTTGGATGCAATGTGTGAACACCGCTTCTCTCTCCACCCATGGCCCACCTCCTTTAAGAGTGCCTGCTGTGTCTCTCCCCATCTCCTTTTGCATTTGTAAATGTAGCAAGCATTACAAAAATGTCCTACTTTCTCCAGCGCTGAAGTGAGGCAGGGAAAGGCAGGTATGAAACACAACCACTTGTTTCACAGCAGGAACGACGACACCATCTCCTGGGGTGCTATCTGCCTGTTTTCTGTATGCCAAATAAATAAAGCTCCCCACCCTCTCGAGAGAGAAGCCTGCCCAATAAGCAAAGCGAAGGTAGGCTAACATGGTTAAGTACTAAACAACACCACTGTCTATTTATACGCTACCTTTTCATAGTTAAAATCATGCTTAAGGTGGCTTTCAGTATGGTAAGAGTTACATAATTAGAAAACATATATATAACAAAAGCAGTTATAAGCAATATATTGAAAATATCAACAAAAACCAAACAATCCCCACACAACGGAAAGGAGGTGTGGAGGGGCTCTTCACTTATAGGGTGGCTGAATACGTTGAAGAACTGAGTGCTTGTGGGACCCCAGACATTTGCCACCTTAATTTGCCCAGAGCCATCTATATCCACATGCAAATATTTTGCAAATTGGTGCAATGTGCCTGTGCCCTGCCGTAGAGTCTTTTAAGTAGCAACACTACTGGAGGGCAGAAACAAAGCAGGAGATGTATAGATTTCACCACCCAAAAAGAATTGTCTTTCCTCTGGTCTGATCCAGCCTCTCTTCAAAGTTTAAAGCATCTCAGGTCTCAGGGTGATCAAAGCCACCAACTGAAGGCACCAGCTTCTCCTTACCGACTCCTCACCCCCACCCCACCCAAGCAAAAGCAAACACAGCCAGATTGTTTTCTCTATCCCCTTTCTCCCTTGCCTGCAACTGCTTCAAGTGCTGTCAAGCCCCATTAGGCACAACGTGGTCCAGACTGATTCAAGATTAAGCCCTTTTTTGGTGAAATCCAATTGAGGACTTTTCTTACCTTGAGGGGGCGGCTGATATTACATTAACTAAGGCTGCCCACACTTTTCCACCCAGAAGCTCCGCAGAAAGAGAGAGAGGGAGAGGTGGAGAGAGAGGATCAAATTCTTCAGGGGAAACAACTATTGGGGTGGGGGAGAGAAGGGGTTTCTGGGGCACCCCCTCCTTAATGCACTGAAGATCAAACCCGCTCCCCACTCCAAAGTCTTGAGCCTTCAGGAGAGAAAAGAATCCTTCCAGCTGCTCCAGGCTAAACCTACTTTCTCCAGTAAGGGAAAGCGATCAGGATGCTCCAGGGCAAAACATCTGGGAGGTTTTTATTAATACAGTAATTCAATCACGTGGAAAGAAGAGAGACACAGAGGTTTAAAAAGCTCTCTGGTGCCTTGCCTACAGCTTTTCCTCTGGTCCCAAAGGAGAGCCGGGTCTGCGACACTCATCCTGCCCTGCTGGTCCTGTATATGTCTCACCCACCAAGCTCGGCAACCTTTGGGGCATGGGACATCTATTTTGGTTGAGTGTCATCTTCTGCTAAGAGAATTAACCTGTCTGCTGGTGAGTTTTCATAAGACCTCTGTTAAAGCAGGGGTTGGTTTTGTGGGGGTGGGTTGGGTTAAGTTTTGTGGGGTTTTGAAGAAGCAAGGTGTGACCTCTGTCTCTATACACAACAATATTGTCTATTTTATGCAGTAGGGAGGAGTGGGTCTGGTGTTTTCAGTTTCTCTTTCTTTCTCATTTTTCCATTCTGAAATTCATTTCTCCACATTGCTACATAAGGTTGTGGGGTTTTTTTTTTATGTCTTCATGAAAATTTACCTGCTAATTTCTCCCATTTTCTATATGCCATTTTTGCCAAATATTTTTGTAAAACAATGTTCCCGGCTGTGATGCATTTTTGTATGTTATTGTCATTAATATATGCTCTCACTCTCTCTTTTGCACACTTTACCCTAATATATACATTTTGTACACATTACTTGGATGGAGAACTGCATTGCAAAATTCAGAGAAGTGCATATTTCAAACACTGCCTGTGTTTTTGGTCCTCATACTGTTTTGGAAAGCACCAATTAGATGTCCCTTTAAATGTGAACTGAACTGAATTTCTGCTCCATCTCCATCTACAGTGTGTAGATGTGTGTGTTGATGTGCACAGCATCATCATGGCAGACTGTGTGTCAGTCTGCTGCACTGCCTGACTGTGTCTTCCATATACAAGGTGTGAAATTTGTCTCAACAATGGGCCTGGCAAAACCTTAACAGTGTATATCTGAAGCACAGTTGTGTAAGACAGTGCATAGCTGGTTGTGTTTGGGGTTCTCTCTTGTGTGTCTGTGTGGAGGCATGTTTGTGTGAACAGTTCCTCTGCAATAGCTTTGGCTAACCCTGGTTCTGTTTACACTGTAATTGTAGGTAAATCCTGATAACCCACATTTATCTCCCATTTCATGCATATGCATTCTAGGAACTATGCAGAATGGGAGTGGGGAATCTTTGGTCCTCCAGATGTTGCCGAACTTCAAGTTTGAAATCCCATTGATTTTCATGAGAGGGGAAAACACGTGCTTAACGTACTTCTTAGGCTGAAATCAATGAAGTAAAAAAAAAAAAAACTACACACCAAAAACTCTTGATTTGGGCTAGATTGCCCCAGGGCATGAGATGTGTCACTGTTGCCCACTGTTGCTCAGGGCACACAGATTGGTTAGGTAGACATTATTTTTTTAATGCATTATTGAAACTGATTTCCCTGCCCTTTGTTGTTTCCTACTCTCTGATTTGAAGCTGAATTTGGCTTGTTTTTATTCTTTACCCTTCACTCCAATAAGTGGAACAAGGGCAAACATTTTATAGCACAAATTGGACCACTATTGGATTGCGGTTTGAGCTTGAGAATGTGTGTGTGTGAAAGAGAGACAGACAGACAGAAGTCTGCTAAAAACACGGGAAGAACTACATTGGATGAAGACTATGACGGGATGGAGCAGGGAGAGGAATTCACTTCAGATCTCATTTAAAGATGACGATAGCTTCTCAAAGCAATATACAAACCAAAATGCAGCTTCCTTTTAGACTTCACTCTTCGCCATATTTTGGGAGGCGGTGTGAAAATGCATGTACTGGGGGAAAGTGTGTGTAAAAATGCACATATTGCTGAAAATAACACATGAAGATGCATCATACTAGGGGAAATTACTTGCCAAATATTCCATTAGGCAAGATTGCAATCCAAAAAAATTGTATATAGTAGGAGAAAGTTGCACTAAACTGCTGATGGGTTTTCATTAGGACTTTTTGTTTTTTGTTTTTTTTAAAGCAAACCGATGTGGAAATGTGTAGAACTGAACTGAAGGTTTGAAAAATGAGACACTAAGAGAAACTGAAATCGACATATTTACCCATTCATTCTGACATGACATAACTATTCCAGAAGGAATTAAAGCCACCCTCTGGACTATGTTTTGATTTTGTTGTTTGGGGAGGGGTAGTACTTCTGGTGGAGGACATGTTGTGCTCCTTCTGGGGTAATTTGTCCAACTTTGGTCTCCGCATTGCATTCAGCTCTCACCTGTGCCTCCTAAAAGCTGTCAGCATGTGACAGTGGCCACACCCCAAGAATGGCTTTGACTAGCTGGCAAAATCAGGTGAGGGTAGCCAATTGGTCTCAAAACACTTGGCGAGTCAGGGACTTCCCGTGCATGCAAAGACAGGCTCTGGTGGGTTGAGTGGATGAGACCAATAATGGGTTCAATGGTCAAGAAGACAGTTTCTGAATGTGCTGTAGAGGGAAGTGAGGGGCAGATGAGGCTAATTAATCTAGGAAGGTAGCCCATCTAGGAGAAGGGAAACTCTGATCCTAAACCTCCGCTGCCTTGTGGGATATCTTCAAGAGAAGAAAATGCTAAGGAGCAAACCCTACACAAAGCCAGAGTGGAATCCTTAAGACTGTTGGATGGCACCTTGTATGCCTCCTTCTGGCAAATGCTGCAGCCAAGCTGGTGCCAGATGTATTGCTCTGCTTTCCTTTGGACCACATCAGTGAGGCAGAGAGCCAGGTATTGTCGTCTGAGCAGCCCAGGACCTCCATACTCACTGCCCATGCTTGCCCCCTGGGTAGTTCACTTAAGTCAGGGGTCGGCAAGGTTTATCTCGCCTGGGCTGGTTCACTCCAGCGGAGATCCCTCTGTGGGCCGGATTGTGCGCATGTGTGAGCAAGCGCGCCCACAATTTCTGGCATCTGCGCAGGTGCAATTTCCAGCACCATGGAAGTGAGTTCCCACGCTGCGCCGCACCAGTTTAGTGCAGTGTGTGAGGACTCGCAGAGCGGGCGGCTTGGTTCGGGGACAGCTCGTGGGCCAGTTAAATGACCCCCGTGGGCCACTTGTGGTCCATGGGCCTTAGGTTTCCTACCCCTGACTTAAGTGCTGCTAATGCAGCGGTTTGACTTAATCCACAGAGGTGCACTCCATTGTCTCTCGAGACAGACAGATGCCAACAACAGTTACTATGTTTGCTTTGTGTGTGTGTAAGCTGCCCTGAGAATATTTTTCTTTTTATTTCTGCAATTAAAGGGCAGCATAAACATTTTTAAAGTAACCACAGGCAAACAAATAAACACACAAGGCATGCATGGATGGCCCTATCCCAAGACTGGCAGTGTTGCATTGTAAACTGTGACTCTTGAGAGCCAGTGTGGTGTAGTGGTTAAGAGCGGTAGTCACGTAATCTGGTGAACCGGGTTCGTGTCTCCGCTCCTCCACCTGCAGCTGCTGGGTGACCTTGGGCCAGTCACACTTCTCTGAAGTCTCTCAGCCCCACTCACCTCACAGAGTGTTTGTTGTGGGGGAGGAAGGGAAAGGAGATTGTTAGCCGCTTTGAGACTCCTGAAGGGGAGTGAAAGGCGGGATATCAAATCCAATCTCTTCTTCTTCTTCTTCTTGGGAACAGCAATGCTGATTTCTCTCCATAGAGATGCCGCCCTTCTTCCACAATTTCCTAACTGTACCGTTACTTGAGGATCAAGCATTTGCTCCAAATGGAGCAAATGGAGCAGCGATTCTGAAATAGTAATTATCATAATTATTTATTGATTGGTCACTTTTAAAAAAGTAACTCAAAAGCAACTTACAAAAATAGCACATACCATAAAACCAGCATAAAACCAAAACAAAGTAAAAGCTAAAGACACTTTTGAATTTATGAAAAGGCAGGACAAAATCATCCCACTCCCTGAAGGAGGCCACAGGTAATTTAAAACCAAAGACCTGTCGGCACCCACAGCCCCGGGCACCCATGGTCATGGGGCCAAGTTGGCACTCCTGCTTCCAAGTGTTGCTGGATGTCAACTACTATCCTGACCATTGACCATGCTGGCTGGGGCTGATGGGAGTTGGAGTCCAACCACAGCTGGAGGGCTGCAGGTGCCCCATCCCTGATCTAGAAGAAGTGTGCTGTAAGAAGTGTGCAGAAGTGTGTGGGCTGGGACTGGGAGGCAACGAGATATCCTTGAGCAACGGAGGAGGGGGGGAATCTCGTCTGAAGGCAAGAGTAGGCAGTCCGAATTGTGTCTATTAATCGATGTCCACGATTCTAGAATCTACGCTGAACATTCTATCTGTGTGCCTAAAGAATCTCTCTCTCTGGCACTTAGCTTAGGTGAGCAATATGAGCAACATCCCTTTCCTCCCCTCTCCGCCTCGACGTGCGACTATGAGCCTTGGGTAAAGCGGTGAGTCCCCATTTGAGGGTGGGAAGCTAACAGAGGCGGGAGAGTTACTCCGAATCCCAGGAGTACCGTTGCCTTGTGCCCTTCCGTGGCCATCTGCTTGGTGCGGAGCAGGGATGGGCGACAAGGAGGAGGGTCCGCTCCGTTGGCGAGAAGAAGAAGGCGCAGACGGTGCACGGCGGCGGCGCCTGGAATCAGGGGCCGGTTTAGTTTGGCCCCCGAGGTGGAGGAGGCGAGCTAGGGTTTTGCTGTTTTTTTTTAATTAATAATAAAAAAACTGGGGAAGGGTGTCAGGAAAGCGAATCGCTGCTTTTTCCATTTTTCCTCACACACCCGCCTCATTTGCATGCCCTCCTCCCTCACCGCCTCCTTTCTCCGAGGCGCGTTTTTGCGCTGCGCTCTTGGAGAGCCCTAGCCAAGAGCGCCCTTGCGCGCTCCGGGGGAGAAGACGAAGGGGGCGCTTCCGTTCGCTCCCACTTCTCGCCAGTCTGCATCGCCTCCCACTCGCGCTTCGCCCCTCCGCTCTCCCACGCTGAGCTTCTCTTTCTCTCTTGGTGTGTGTGTGTGTCTTTCCCCCTCCCTCTTTCTCTCTCCTCTTGGACGTCTCAAGGCGACAATGACCAAGTCCCTGAGCCAGCCGGAGCAGAGGGACTCGGCGGTGGCGCCCTTGCGGGACTGCTCTGACCCGCCACTCCAAAAGAAGGACGTGGAGCTTCTCCTGGTGAAAGAGCAGAACGGCGTACAGTACACCAGCAGCAACCTTCTGGAGACCCGCAGCCCGCGCTACAGTCCCACCGCCGCGGAGCCTGAGCGGGAGACGTGGGGCAAGAAGATCGACTTCCTCCTCTCGGTCATCGGGTTCTCGGTAGATCTGGCCAACGTGTGGAGATTTCCCTATCTCTGCTATAAAAACGGAGGAGGTAAGAGAAGTCTCTTCTCTCTCTCTCTCTCTCTCTCTCTCTCTCTCTCTCTTGTACACATACGATATTCTCTTCTGCATCTTTGTGTTTCTCCATAGCATAACCGATCTGACTAGCCTGTGGAAGTTTTACGCGAATGGTTAGGAGAAGGTTTGGGGTTCCGGAGCCAGGGAGTGGGAGGCAGGTTCTTGTCCCACTGTGCCCTCCTGCGATGCACACGAAGGCCCATAGCAAGTCTCATGCTCCCACCCTCACTTCCTACCAGGAGAAGGGAAATAGCAGCGACCTACCTCCTAAGGTTGTTGTGAGGGTGGTCGTAGTAAAGAACATGGGGGCACCCTGATCTGAAACACGGTTGCTTACTTAGACGACAACAAACAAGCCTCGAGTTCATTTATTTGCTTATCCTTCACACCTCTTCCTTTCCCTTCTTCCAAACAGTGTCAAGGAAGTAAACACCACCACCTCCTCTTTCTTAAAAAAAAATTATATTGAGTGACAGGGTTGGCTTGGGATCTTCTAGAACTTCACTGGATGAGTAGAAATTTGAATCCAGCACATCATGCTCCTTGTACTACTGCTAACTGTGCATTTTAAACTGTATTCTAACTTATATTTTAATCAACTGTTTTTTTGTGTGTGTGTGTTTTAATGTTGTTACTGTATTTATATTCAGTGTTAGCTGTCTTGGCCAGGGAGGGCGGTGTATAAATAAAAATTTATTATTATTTATTATAGGATCTAACCTTGACAGTCCCAGTTGATGCATGTTTTACTTGAAAGGTGCAAGGGGTTATGACTTGAAAGTGTCATCCTATGCCTGTTTACTCAGAAGTGAGACCCGCTAAGTTCGATGAAGCTCAGCAACATAGTAGTGATTCCCACTGAGTCTTACCCCACTGATAAGTGTGTTAAGGACTACAGCTTGTGTTTAGGATTGCAGCATGGAACTCTTTGCAGATTAAAGGGGAGTGTACTGGGAGCAGTTGGTGGAAAGGGCAAGCTGTTTTAAGCACTTCTGTTTTCCTTGACTATGAAAGAGGGAGCTGAGTTACAAACTGACTATGACGAACATTTCTATACAGATCCAGGACTTTAAAATTTCCCAGCATCTTGGGGCTGATTCATTCAATGCACTCTAGTCAGTGTCTCATTGCCTGATGACTCTGAATGGGTGATCTGCTGTGCTTTCAAAGAGAATTGTGTTTTTTGGGTCATGAAACAAATACTCAGATTGCTTTTGATGATCGTTATATTAATGATTATATTTTTATCCCTTCCTTCCTCCAAGGAGCTCAATACAGTGTAGAGAGGTCTATTCTCCTTTGTTCACACAACAACCCTGTGAGGTGGGTTAGGCTGAGTGAGTGATCAGCCCAAGCTTAACCAGTATGTTAAGTAGGATTTGAACCCAGATCCGCTACTTTTGCATAGCCATCACTTGGGGCGCAACAATCCTCTAGTGATTGTTGTAGTAGTAAAGGTAAAGGGACCCTTGACCATTAGGTCCAGTCGTGGCTGACTCTGGGGTTGCGGCACTCATCTTGCTTTATTGGCCGAGGGAGCCGGCGTACAGCTTCCAGGTCATGCGGCCATCATGACTAAGCTGCTTCTGGTGAACCAGAGTAGCGCACGGAAACGCCGTTTATCTTCCCATCAGAGTGGTACCTATTTATCTACTTGCACTTTGACATGCTTTCAAACTGCTAGGTTGACAGGAGCAGGGACCGAGCAACGGGAGCTCACCCCGTCGCAGGTATTCGAACCACCAACCTTCTGATCGGCAAGTCCTAGGCTCTGTAGTTTAACACACAGCACCACCCGCGTCCCTGATTGATGTGGTAGATCTATCCTAAAGAAAATACAGAAGGGCTGCTAAATCAGAACTTTGTTTTTGTGAAATAGGTGTGCACCCATCCACCCTGGCTGTCCCAGAGAAGCCTGACTTATTTTGAGAGTGGATCAAATCCAGTCACCCAGTGATCAGTGTAGGGCTGTGTACAGAAATTACTACCCCAGGGGCTCCTAAAATGTGGTCTGCCAAATCACCAGTGGTGCATAAGCTTCATGCATGTGGCCTGTGGTGTGTCTCTAAAAAACAATTGCCATTTGAATTCTATAGAATTCTATTGGATTTGAATTGCAATGCAATCCAATACTATATAGAAGATAAACGGGGAATAAAAATGCAAATTAAAATCTAATACAGGGCATTGCAATTGCTACAACAGGTAGAATATATATATATATTCCAAGTGGTCTGCCAAGACCCTTGACAATTTGCAGGTGGTCTGGTGTGTGTATGTGCAGATTTGGGAACCCCTGGCCTATCCAAACTTTTCCGCCTTGCTGTATTTAAATTTGGATGAACTTCTTGTGATTTCCAAGCTTCTCTGACACACATAGAAAGGGGTTTGCTGGATCACATCAAGGACCCGTCTAGCCCACCCTCCTCCTTCTCACGTCATTCCCCTGCTGGGCCCTCTCAGCAACTGGTGTTCAGTACATGCTGCCTCTTAATTCCAATTAGCCATCAGGGCTAATAGCTGTGGCTCACTCAACAGCTCATGCACCCATTTGTTCACCACTGCTGGACCAGCCCTGTAATTTAAGATTCCATTTGCATGGCTTTGTATCTGTGGCTGCATACACACCATACATGGAAAACACATCTGCCAGCCTCCTGGCTAATAATCCTGGGAACTGTAGTTTGCCCCTCACAGAGCTACACTTCACAGCACCCTCAAGAAACCATAGTTCTCATGGGGTTTTTTGGTGACGTTTTTCTTGTGGGGTGCTTTAAATGTGTTGTGTGTGTGCAGTCTGTGTCAGGGCCATGCCCTCCCTGCTGCCATTCCACTTGAACAAGAACTCCCCTTCAGTGCAGAAACTGCAGGGAACCATGAGGACTAGGCTGTTGTGCAGAATTGCATGATTTGACAGCTGTGCAAATTTGTCACAGCGCAACGAGGTGCAGAGCAATGAATTAGGACAGTTCAGATTTCATCCGGTCAACAGATAAAAGGGATAAAGGCAGGGTTGGATTTAGGTTTCATGAGGCCCTAAGCTACTGAAGGTAATGGGGCCCTTTATATGTCCAGCTGTCTTTTGTCAAAAACAAATTGTCACTGTTTTTGTGTGTTGAATATATGCTATATGGTTATTTATGGACCTAATAGGTATTTAAAGCCATTTGCACAAAACAAAATATGTATTTTATCAAAGTAATTGTTGAACAGAAATACAATTAAGAAGTATATTAATAGTGAAATAATTATTAAGCTCTAACTTAAAATGATTTTTTTATTCATAACAAACTTAATAATGCAAACACATTGGCATTTGGCAATAACAAAAGTTCCTTTAGAAACACAGTTTACAAAGACTCATAATGAGCAAACCAGGGATATTTTAGGGAGCAGGCTAGCAGGCGGGGCCCATTACTTACATCATAGGAGCCTACACAACACAAAACACTGTTGCTGTTTGTAGGTTTTATTTTATTTCTTTTTTGTCTTATATTTTGGAAACGTAGATCCAGGTTTTTTTTCCTTAAAATTTTTTGGGGGCCCTCAAGAGAGTGGGGCCCTAAGCTATAGCTTGTTTAGCTTATGCGTAAATCTGGCACTGGATAAAGGTGCTTCTCCTTAAGGAGAGGAGCTGTTGCTCAGTGGTAGAGCTTCTGCCTTGTATTCCAAAGGTCCCAGGTTCAGTCCACAACATTTCCAGGTAGGGCTGGGTATGTGCCTTGTCTGAAGCCCCAGAGAACTGCTGTCAGTCAGAGTAGGTGATGCTCAGCAAGATAGTTCAAGGGACTGGTTTATATAAGGCTGTGTACACACAGGAGGCCCAGTCCTTCTAGTGTCTGTCTACTTGGACTTGCTTTTGACAACAAGATGCCTTCTGCATGCTTGCTGGAGTAACTCCATCTTTGGGAATCTGCCAGTTCCATGCTGGAGGAACAGAGAGCATGGCAAACAGATGGAGAACTTTTGGCAAGACTGGGGTAGACGTTTGGCTACAAGGGAACCAGCAACAGAAGACACAGCGATGATATGATGCCTGGACCACTTGGTTGCCAGATTATAAAACAGTAGCTAAACATACTTCTTGCTTTTCAATAAATGATTTTTATTGAGTTTTAGTCAACATGCAATAAACACAGAGCAATATAGGCAATATAGGGACGCGGGTGGCGCTGTGGGTTAAACCACAGAGCCTAGGACTTGCCGATCAGAAGGTCGGCAGTTCGAATCCCCGCAACAGGGTGAGCTCCCGTTGCTCGGTCCCTGCTCCTGCCAACCTAGCAGTTCGAAAGCACATCAAAGTGCAAGTAGATAAATAGGTATTGCTCTGGCGGGAAGGTAAACAGCATTTCCGTGCGCTGCTCTGGTTTGCCAGAAGCAGCTTAGTCATGCTGGCCACATGACCCGGAAGCTGTACGCTGGCTCCCTTGGCCAATAAAGTGAGATGAGCGCCGCAACCCCAGAGTCGGCCATGACTGGACCTAATGGTCAGGAGTCCCTTTACCTTTACCTTTAATATAGGCAAAGTACGTTAAAGGAATGTCTGCAACAGGATTTGGAGTGGTATTGCAAAAGTTCATAGCACAGAATACCTGTAGCCGTGTGCGCTGATTCAGAGTGGACCAATATAAGCAGAAGTTCTCAAGCAGAAGGTAGACTTTTTAGATATGCTCTCCACAATGTAAGCTGACTCATTGAAAGTTGCAGCGGAAAATAGAACTCAAAGGGGATAGGTGAATGTGCATTCCCCATAGCTTGGTGGGAGAGCATCTGCTTTGCATGCAGAAGGTCCCAGGTTCAATCCCCAGTATCTCTGAGTAGGGCTTGGAAATGCTAGATGGACCTAATGGAGCTAGATGAGTCAATGAACTAAATGGGCCTGCTTTTGCAAACCTTTACAATAATGTTTTTTATAGTGAGTTTCGATAGGTATAAATTAGAATTGCAAGGGATGGAACTAGCCTCCTAGAGCTTATGTTTTAGGGCCCAGAAAACAGTTTCCAGTCAGAAAACTTGCTTTGTTCAAGTTTACTTACACTTGCTTATGTTTCTGGTTACAAATGCAAGATAATGTTCACGTTCTGAAACTGAAGAGTGTTTGGCAAATTTGTCATGTGCCATTCACACAAGGAGGACATCACTTGCTTGCCCTGCATATGATTCCTGTGCATTTGATGTCTGATGGCTGAACTTGTGAACTGACTTGTCTGAAAAGCTTTGCGTTTGAGATCATGGGGTGATAGGAACTTTCAATTTGTTCTCTTTCTTTCTTTCTCTCTCACACACATGTACCACATAACTTTATGTAACCACGGACAGGTGATGAACACCCATATCTGAACCAGTTATATGTGGTTCAGAACCCTCAGGCCATAATCTTGTCCACATATTACACACAATGCATGAGCAGTCTGTGTACCTCTGCACAAAATAATTGATCTGTATACTCGTACAGTTATTCACATGCAATATGCAACTGGTGTACAATTTCTATACCTTTATACACAGTAGTTGAGCTGTACAAATCAACAAGTGTACACTCTTCCACACAAATGTGTGTGTAGGGTCAGCATGTACCTGTATTCAGTGCAACATGTGTCAACAAGCCAATAAATAAATATATTTCCCAAGTTAAGTGATATGCATGGACACCCAAACCAGCCATAGGCATTAGAATGATTATTCCCTCATCTAGATAGTTGTGGTTATCCCTACAAATCCTCTGGTGACTTGCTCTGACAACCCCACACCTAAGCAAGCCCTGGGCCCACTGTCATTATGAAGTTGCAGATATATCAGATTAAAGCGCTCTACCAGCCAGCCCATGAATTTAGGTCTTTCATTTTCATGCACAAACGCCAGATGCTTTAACTTCAATCACCTGGGTTTAAAAGATTTGGCCCGATTCCCCAAGTAGTAGCATAAGGATATTTAAACACACACACACACACAAATCATTTCCTGCATTCTGGGGCTTTGTTCTCTGGTGATTTATTTATTTATCATTTGCCCTGGGAAGGTCATGGATGAGAGTTCTGGCACAGTGCGTCCTTTGTGCAGATGGCTTATCTCTACTGGCTCTTGCAGTAATTCTCCCCAAAGCATGACAAAGGTGAATGTAAAAGTCCATTTTCTTTGTAAAGGGAAGACATTATGGGCTGTCTGGCCTATGCAGGGCCAGTGTAGGGAGCTGGCACTGCTGGGAACCTATCAGGGCCTTCGCACCAGAAGCAGCCGTGCTGCTGACTAAGGATAGCAAAACACATTTTTTCTGCTCTGCCCTGTATTCATTGCATGCAGCGTGGTTTCCATTCTGCTGCAGTTCATCTTCCACCAAAGCCAACCTTTCTCATATCAGTGTCTGCTGCAGAAAAATTGTGCAACTTATGTACTTTATGTAATTCGTGACATTGTTCCACCCTGTTCATTTCAGGGCAAAGGAAACACAATGCAAAGGGAGGAATGTAATCAATTACATATGGTTTTGCAAACTGAAAGCAACAACAATGGCAAACGTAAATTGCATTCACATGTTTGATATTAGTTCCGGGCATCGGGTAGCATTCAATGTTAGGGTGGCACAGAGCATACCCACTGAAGTTAATGAACATTATGATTGCTGTATTTACTCAAATGCAGTGCTTTTTTTCTTTTAAAAATGTTTAGGGGTACTCTCATTTTCCTACTCATATTGAAATACTGCCCCTCAATGAGGACAATGTTTAGATTCATGAAATGTTTAGGGGTATGCGTACCCCTGTGTCCCCCCTGAAAAAAAGCACTGCTCAAATGCAATGCGCACCTTTTTTGGCCAAATTACGTCACGGAAATTAGGGTGTGCATTAAATTTGATGGTGCATTAGATTCGATTGCAAGCTTGAAAAACACCCTCTGACTTGGCAAATACTTTTTTGGTTTCAAGGTTTTGAAAAGAGAGGTGTGTATTAGATTCAATGGCACATAAGATTTGTGTAAATATGGGAATTCCATAAGGTCTACTCTGAGTAGGACTAGTGTTGCATACCACCCATAGAATAGCATATCATGAGCATTTGCAGTTTTCACTCCCTTTTCTGTTTTCATCTGAATTATCTGAGATCCCTACAGCCTCACTTGTGTTGCTTCTCATCTTTATCCTTCCTCTTTGCAAGTCTGTGAGTTGGAAGAAGTTCGAGGCGGAGAAGTTTGCTCTCTCTTGGGTTGTAGTGTGGAGAGTACAAGCAATTTAATTTTTATTATTATTATTTATTTATTTCTTTGCTCAAGGAACCCCAAAATATGGAGCAAATACTGAGTTGCCTCTCCGCCTAGACTGGGAATAATTTAATGCTAATGGTGCACTAGATGGTCTTTGAGCAACTGTGAATCTTTCATGCTCCAAAATGCATGCAAATCTTAACAAGGATGCTCCTGCTCCACAAGATTTTAAGCTGAGATGCATGGTCAGTGGCGCTGGATGGTGCAGCTCTTTCTAGACTGTCCCAGTTCGAATTTCAAATGGGGAACTACATATTTCAATGCACTCCATGTAATAATGTGATACAGAACATTACAGTATAGCAAAATAGGGGTGGGGTAAAAGGTCAACCAGAGGGTCACATTCCCTCCTCGGCAACCTTCCAGGGGCCACATGTCAGCGTGTCCTTGGACTCTGATAACACCTCCTGCTTCCCTGGATGGAGGTTATAGCAGTGAGTGTGTGTAGAAACTAGCCTCCTGTACAAAGGTTAGAATTTACATTTGTTGCTGCGTCCACTTGTCTCTGGCTCTGCCGATCTCTGAGATATGCAGCTCAGAAGTTTGCCCAGAAATGAATATGGCCTTTGGGATGAACAGGGTTCCCCATTCTTGGGATGGGGGTGATCTGAATTGCTCACCCAGGCACACACTTATGGGTGTCCATACATCATATGTGCCTATCTTTCTCTGCCTTGATACTCTGTGTGTGTGTGTGTGTGTGTGTGTGTGTATGTGTGTGTGTGTGTGTGTGTGCGCGCGCGCGCAAAGCACTCTGGCAAATCACAAAGCCATTCACCTGACATGTGTCAAAAGCCTTCCTATTGTTCCACGATCATTCTATTGTTCGTTGGTTGGTACTCTGCTCTGCTGGCATGTGTGTAATACGGGGAATCTTTTTTGCTACTGGAGAGCTATTCTTAGCTGATGGAAATAAGAGCCCAATCTACGCCTGCTGTGTCTTGAACCGCTTCCTGTAGAAACCGCATGCCGCACACTAGTCGAACGGCAAACTACTGGGGGAAAGAGCAGTTTGGAGAGCTCCTTTTGGAGCTCCTCATAATCTCATTTTTCCTCAGACCACCCTGATCAATTTGGTGCCACCAGGAAACTTGGCTGTTTTGCTACTTGCCCCTAACTCCAGGGCATTTATGAAAAAGTTACAAAGCACAGGTTCCAGAAGTGATTCCTTGAGGGGGGTGGGGATCCTACTTTTTACATCCCTTCATTGTAAAACAAAAGTAACAACAACTCTGTATATTTATTCTGACTTTCTGCTTCCTTGGAACTTTGGAAGGGAGGTCCGACAGCTCGCCTGTCAATCATCTGACATAGTTATGACATGTGCATTATCCTGCCCACCTGTTGAAGTCCTTTGCTCAGTATTTGATAAGTGCTCAACTGCCAGCTGGTTGTTGGGCACTTGGAAAGTGCAGTGCAAGGTGTTTTGCAAACCATATGCCCAGTGCTTGGGAAGTGCAAGGACTGGGAAAAACTGCAGCCTCATGGGACACATTTGGCCTGCAAGTTGTAGGTTCTCCATTCTTGCTTTCTGCCTATAATATATATGCTCTCATTTGAAACCAAGAACTCCATCTTACCCATCTTGGTTTGGAGGCTTCTAGCATTAGCATATAAATGCTTTCAGTATTTACAGTGTTTTTCTCTCCAAAAGTCTTTGGCATGTTCACTTTGTTCTATGGTGCTTTGTACTCCTCGAATTGCTGTCATGTCCCCCTTGTGCACGCTGATTCCCTAGTTCTACACCACTCCCATTTGCACCATCCTAAACAATTTAACCCTCATCCCTTGCGGATGATTTACCCTGAACTGGAGACTCCTCATCTACTGTCAGTTTTCTGAAAGTTGCTCTGCCAGAATTTTGGCTGTCATGTCCAACAATCTGTTTCCATTCTGGTTCACACAGAGCCCTTCTTCTTTGTATAGTCCTGGCTTGTCCCAAAATGCTCTCCAGCACCTACCAGATCCAGGCATCTTTTCCTGACACCAGTGTCATGGCTACCAGCCATGATGGCTAAGCTCTGTCTCAGGGTGGCCCAACTTTTCATACCAAGTGGGCCACAATAATACTTTGACACAAAACCCACGGGTGCACACTGCCTTATTGCACCTGTGTGTGTGTGTTAATGAACACTTTCCCCAGCCCTTGCACTGCCTTCCCAAAGCTGGGAAAGCACTAACTAGGCTTTGGGAAGGAGGCAGGAGGACTCTTGAACCCTGCTACAGCCCCGTGTCTCTTTCCCAAAGCCCAGCACCATGCTTGAGGGCAGGGCCGTCTTAAGCATAGCCGGCACCATGGTGCAAAGATCCCTCCGGTGCCCCTTCAAAACAAGGGAGGGGGCAGTGGAAAATGTCCTCTGCCTCCCCCACTGCCCCAATCCCCGGCGTGGTGGCCGTGATCAAGCAGGAAAACGTGCTGCAGGACATGCTCTCTGGCGTCAGGGCACCCGAAAAGGCAGCCTAGGAAGGCTGCACACCGCCTTTCGCCAGGAAGCAGAAGGAGGACAATGACTGGGAGCAAGGCTGTCTTTAGCAGATGCAGAGGCTTGGGATCCTAAGCCTCTGTGGGGATCGCTCTCCTTCTGCAGAGGCTTGGGAGGGAAGCTGCACGCCCTCCAGGCATATAGTTGGTGGGGCGCAGCTGGCGGGCGTGCTGGGAAAGGGGAGGCTGCCGGTAAAGCCGCAAAGCTCCCCCACTAACGAGGGCGCCCCTGAGAGGTCGGCGACCTGGCGCAACAAACCACTAAGACCAATGGGAAAGACGGCTCTGCTTGAGGGCTGGGCTGGGGTTGTCAAATGTTGCCAAGGGCCACCAAAAAAGGCCTTGGGGGCCGCACATTGGACCACCTTGCTGTATCTCCATGTGCTTCTGAATACCAGTCATTGAAAACCACAGGGGAGAGTACTCTTGTGTTCAGGTCCTGCTTGCATATTTCTCCTCAAGCACCTGGTTGACCACTGTGAGAACAGGATAATGGACTAGACGGGCCATTGCCCCAATCCAGCAGGACTCGTCTTATGTTCTTATATCCAGGTGGGGCTAGGACAAAGCTTACCTGAATGAAAGCCTGGAGAGCCACAGCCTGTCGTTGTAGACAATACTGAGCTAGGTGGCCAATGGCATGACTCAGTATAAGGCAGCTTCCTTTGTTTCACTAGGCACATGCCCACAACCTCTATCCATCAGGGACATTCTGTACAATACATCCGGCAATCTACCAGCATACTTCTCATTGCTGTTTATTGAGATAATTTTATTTGGTGCCTGGGTCATGAAATGGTGAGATGAGGATAGTCTGCCCCGGCCTTATCTCACTGGTGCACTGAACTCACACAGCTGCCCAACTCACGTGTTTCCTTGGCGTGCGGATTAGGGCCCGAGATGCTTCTTCGAGTGTGGCTCTCCTCTTGCTCACAGAGCTGTGATCAAAGGTTCCCTGGTGATTTTCTATAGAATGAAGAAAATGCTGCCTAAGGGGGGGGGGGAGGGAATCATTAGCAGTGTGGGAGGATTCACTCTTCTGTTATGTGTTCAGTCCCTTTCATTTGGGGGAGCCTCAAATATATATATTATTTTCTTCAGGCCACAAGGTGGAGCCATGTAACTTTAAAATAATAATTAACGTACAACGTATATAAATGTATATGCTACATATTACCAGCTCCTGAAGAAGTCAAGTAGATATTTTCAGAAGTCTTTCTTTATTTTTATTTTTTGTAGTACGAAATCTTTGGTACACATTTTCCCAACCTGGCGCCTTCTAAATATTTGGACTACTCAGTGGTGCTGGCTGAGACTGAAGGGTTGTAGCCCCAATCATCTTGAAGGCACCAGTTTGAGAAAGTCCTCTCTGGAATCGTAAACTTGTACTTTACAGCTGGGAAAAGGACAAATCTGCTGAGCAGTTTTAAACACCAGCCATCTAGATTAAATGATCTGTACATCACTGTGGGTTAAACTACAGAGCCTAGGACTTGCCGATCAGAAGGTCGGCAGTTCGAATCCCCACAACGGGATGAGCTGCCGTTGCTCGGTCCCTGCTCCTGCCAACCTAGCAGTTCGAAAGCACGTCAAGTGCCAGTAGATAAATAGGTACTGCTCCAGCGGGAAGGTAAACGGCGTTTCCGTGCACTGCTCTGGTTCGCCAGAAGCAGCTTAGTCATGCTGGCCACATGACCCGGAAGCTGTACGCCGGCTCCCTCGGCCAATAAAGCGAGATGAGCGCCGCAACCCCAGAGTCAGCCACAACTGGACCTAATGGTCAGGGGTCCCTTTACCTTTATCTTACACCATATTTAGCTGGTCAGATCTTCACGTGTACCACAGAATGAAATCTCCCTGATCCCGTAGAGCTGAATTTCAGCCTTCGGTTCAAGGCAAATGATGCAACTCCTGTGCTGAAGTTAAGCAGGTCTTGCTCTGTGTCTGATGCTACTTGGGAAAGCCATAAAAGAAGAAATGTGGATAACAGGTTTGTGAATAAACACAATCCAATTAGCAAACTTGAGATTGGAGTTCTCTTCAGCTTTCAGTGTTGTATTACTTTTAGAGTAAAAACAGGGGTGTGGAGCCTTTTCCCCTTCCCTCAGAAGTAACTTTCCGAGGACTGAATGCCCATGATAGGTGGGGCTGGAGCCCAAAGGTGGGCAGGGCCAGAAGTAATAAGTAGGCAGAGCAACAAGTGTGACTCTCTAGCCCTTTCAGAGAGACCCAGGTTTAAAAAGGCTGCAACATTTGAGACTTTTTAGTTTAGAGAAAATGCAAGTAATAGGTGATACAATAGATGTATTGTGGTAAAACTGGATGGAGAAAAGTTCCTCTCTCACAGCATCAGAGCTCATGGACATGCAATGAAACTGAATGTTGGAAGATTCAGGACGGATAAAAGAAAGCTTTTCTTCAACCAACACAGAGCTAAACTGAGTCACTGGACCTGTGGCTGCTCCTCCAGACATAAAGGACAGCAGATCTGACCTGGTGTTTGTTTTTGTTGTTGTTTTATCTGGAGTAGCTTCTGCTGAAGTAAACGCTTGCGAAGTTTGGAGCTATGCAGAATGCTTTGTTTTCATAAGCAGTATAGATGCTTCTTTTATCCAGTGAACAATTTTTGTATCATTCAGAGAATGGATACCTGTTTTCTATGCAGAGAAAAACAGATTCAGTTAAAGCTCATTTTCTGTTGTATCATTTTATACTTTACATATTGTTGTAACAAGCACTCGCTCCCCTCTTGATGAAATTGCAGAGCAAGAACTATTTCTTAAAAGGTTGTGAAATCTTGAAAGCAGAATTTCCACCTTTACAGGGCAATATGTATTTTTAATTTGGAAGAGAAACAGACTGTTTAAAAAAACAACAACTGAGGTTTATGAGCACTGTTACAAGATGTGAAAGTGTGTGTGCCGGGTGGCGGCGGCGGGGTATAATTTCTCCCTTACAGTGTCTCATCTTGCACACTTGAGCTTTTCAGGATAAGACTTGTAAATGAACACTTTGATGTCAAATAACAGTCACGTGGTTTGGAATAACAAGGGTAGGAAGTGCTCTGTCAAAGCATTCGGAAGAGATTGCAGGATCAAAAGGGAGCAGCTGGATGCGATTTGCATCTCTGCAGGACTTTTTTTGCCAACATTGGGAATCACAGCTCTTCCTGGGGGTGGAGAGGTCAGCCGTGGCTGAAGGAACTGAAATATTACACTGAGATCATTAGTTGCATGGCTGTGTAAACCTTCCTACGAGCACCTTAAGGTGGATGTCCAAAGAGGTTCACTGTTGCCACAGATCAAAGCTGAGGGACACCTTGAAGCTCCCATCTTTGAACTATATCTATACTTGAAATCCGTTATGATCTCCGGTTGTGTACTTGCTACAGCTTCATGGGTTGCTTATTTCACAAGATCTGTATACTGCTTGAATGAAAGAAAACAACAGTGTTTTACATAAATAATAAAACAAAACAAACATCACTAAAAAAAGAGAGAGTTAAAAATGACTTTAACCATTCCAAAAAAGATTGAAATCAACGATAAGATAAAAACCAGACTAAAGTGCATGTCTGCTAGTGTTTCACATGTCTGGAGAAACTTGCCTAAACAAAAATGGTTTAGCAGGTGCAGAAAAGAGTACAATGAGTTTCATGGTGTGAATGCTGCCATATGGTGTTCTTAGAAATGTGGAAGTGGCTGAGTGGAGATATATAGGGTAAAGTGATTTCTCAGGTCAAGAATATAGGAGAAATTTGATTTAGATTGCCTTTAAAGGTGGACCTCCCTATTTTGCACTTTCCATGACAATACACATAATGAAAGACAGTCATCTTTTGAAATTCACAGTTTTTGGAATTTGGCAATGCATTTCTCTAGTCAAGTCATGTGTTCAGAAAACGGATAAAGTAGGGTAAAGTCTGCATACAAATGCATATGTAAGTGAACATAAAAAAATGCATTCTATTAGGGGGAATGGCTTTACAAAAATGTGTATGTTGTGACTCTTCAGTTTAAGGGATGCATCCTGTTTCAGCCATCACTTACTTAGACAGTGTCAGGGAGACTTGAATCGAGGCTTCAGCAATGCCTCCCGTCCAGTTTGAAACCATTCCAGATGCTGCAAATGCACTAGCAGTTTTATTGCTGCACCACTAGGAGATGCATTTGAGGGGCAGCAGCGTGACATCCTTGTTCCAGAGGGGCACTGGTACCATGGGCTCATCTTGCCAACGTATTCTAGGGCCTGCATTCCATGCAAATGCTTTTCTTGCTTAGAGTCCTCTAAGACCTGCTGCCTCTGTGTAAGGCTTAGTCTAAGGCTGGTGCTTGCTGAAGCAACATCAACATCTGGAGGGCCACAGGCTCTTTATCTGTGTTATGATGCAAGCCCTCACTTTCTCATTGACAGGGGTGGGAAAATGGTCTTCTGAGAAAGGGTTGCAGCATTTGGGGCTTTTATAATTGAGGGGGAAAGGGTGGGGCGTGATAGAGGTGTATGAACTTCTGCATGACATGGAAGAAATGGATAGTTTTTATTTTTCTCTAGTTAGAAACCCATTGGGGAATTCGCAGACTGACAATGGACTAAGGTAGTACTTCTTCACATATTGCTTGGTGAAGTGCCTGTGCTTTTTTATAGAAAAAAAAGGCTCTAGAACTACCCCCCCTCCCCTGCCTTGCTCCCGCCTGCTCTTAACCCCTTCCATGGCGGGCTGCTGCTGTGATCACAGAGATCAATATCTGATCATGGTGGTGGCAGCAGGTTTCTTGGTGGGAGGGAGAGGCGGGCAGAGGGAGTGGGCAGGGGCTTCCAAGTCAGAGCCAACCAGCCTCTAGGGGGGAGAGAGAAGGGGAGCCAGGAACGAGAGGGAGATAGAGAAAGCAGGGGAAGTGGGGTGTGTGTGTGGAGGGGAGGACAAGGGGATGATTTAACCTAGAGCAGAACATCTCACAAGCACCTCTTGGGGAGAAAACCAAACCATAATAAATAAGGAGGGAGGGAGGTGGCAGTAAAGCAGAATGAGGCGGTGGCGGGTGGAAAACTCAGACAGCAGTGGTAGCGGTGGTTCAAATCTCTCGGAAAGGCTGGCCCAGCGGCTGCTGAAGGGACAGGCAGAGATAGATTTTTTTACATATGTATATATAGTGCACTTCTTTTTTTGGGGGGGGGGGAGGTGCCGGAACTGTGCTCCGGTGCGCTCTGGCTCAAAAAAAAGTACTGCCCTTAGCCTAAGGTTACCAATATTTTTTTTTCAATGAATTCGGGGACACGTTTCAACTTCAATGGATTTTGTATGGGGACTGATTTGTAAATCCGGGGACTGTCCCCAGGAAACGGGGACATCTGGTAACCTTACCTTAGCCACAGAGAACATAGGAAGTCTGTGGGAATGTTCTGGGGTGCAGGAGAGGATATATTGTGAGATTATATCCTAATCCAATTTGTGCTAACAAGTTCCCAAAATATCAGCAGAGTTTATGACATTCCCCTTTAAGTTCGCAACGGTAACGTCTGCACAGGTTCGCTAGAACCTCTATAATAATTACTCTGGTAATTTCCCCTTTGTTCCCTCTTAAAATACAAGACACGACACAGTCTTTATAAAAGTATAAAAGAGTTTACTCACATTCTGTTCACAATATGATCCCAGAAGGCAGACAGCTTAAAAAGGTTACATACATTCAGAATCTATCTTGTAGCAAGATAGTCCTTATCTCCTCTCTTGGCTGAGAGCCAAGAGGGCATGCTTAGATGTTTCCTCATCAAAGGAAGATGGCAGAGAGAGAGAATGGCTGGCTGCCCTGTGCTTTTATCATTTACCTGCACAGGTGAGGCCACACCCACCTCTGGTCACATGCAGAGGAAGTCCGTCCCCAGGAAGTTTACCTGCTTGCTAGACAGACATCCCTCCCCATGTTCTAACATGTACACTCTAGGAATGTTGTCATTGACTGCTCCTGCGTTTTACATCCCACATACCCCTTCTCAGGCAATGCAACATTATACAAAACATAAACAACTTTATTCAACCACCCGGAGTCCCAGCTTGACACGTAGATTCTGGAAACTCTCTCTTGGTAGGGGTTTCATCAGGATGTCAGCAGTCATCTCTTGGGTGCTGCAGTAGGATAGTTCCACTAGTCCATCCTGGATCATCTGGCGTATGTAGTGGTATTTAACCCCAGTGTGTTTTGTTCTGGCCAGAAACTTTTCACTCTGCGTAAGCTTCAGGCAACTTTGATTGTCCTCTAGCAAGCTGACGGGACCTTTTCTCACCAACCCAAAGTCCTTGATCAAGCCAGGCGATCTCTCTGCAGGCTTCTGTTGCTGCAACGTATTCTGATTCTGTGGAAGATAATGCTACACAGCTCTGTTTATAACTGCCCCATGCAACAGGTCCATCACCAAACATAAAAACATGACCACTTGTTGATTTATAATCAGCATTATCCCCAGCCCAATCCGCATCAGTATACCCAGCCAACTTAGGGTCTCTGACGGCTGGTAACCTTAATTCGCAATTCATGGTAACCTTCAAATATCGCACCACCCGCTTTACACCTACCCAATCATGCTCAGTGGGAGAATTCACTTTTCTGCTAAGAATCCCCACAGCATTAGCTAAGTCAGGTCTACATGTGGTAACTAAATACAAAAGTTTACCAATCGCCGACCTGTAGTCATTGTTGTCTGGCAACTGCTTCGAATCCTGCTGATTCTTCAGGAAGTCAGTAGCCATCGGTGTAGCAACTGGATGTGCGTCTTGCATCTGCGTGTGCTCAATCAGCTCATGGATCTTCTGTCTTTGGCTGAGAAGAAATGAGCCGTCCTCTTCTCTTTCCACCTGGATCCCGAGGTTGTACTGGACATCTCCTAGCTCCTTGACTTCCACCTCTTTGCTAAGGTGTTTTACTATCTGTGTATAGTCTTTCTCACTTGCTGTGGCAATAATCAGGTCATCAACAAATGCTAAGATATATGAGAATTGTCCATTATTTGACTTACTGTACAAGCACTTGCCAGCGTCGCCTTGCTTGTACCCAAGTTGCGTCAGCATTTTATGCAACTTCTGGTTCCAGGCTCTAGCAGCCTGTTTGAGTCCATAAAGTCCTTTCTGGAGTTTGCACACTAAATGTGCCTCATGTGGTTTCACAAAACCTTTGGGCTGTTTCATGTAAATTTCCTCAGAAATCTGCCCATGTAGAAAAGTGGTAGCAATGTCTATGTGTGTCACTCTCATTTTCTTGGAGGCTGCAATGCTTAAAAGCATTCTTACGCTGCTGTACCTCACGGTTGGTGCAAAAACGTCATCATAGTCTTCACCAAAACGCTGTGAAAATCCCTGTGCTACAAGTCTAGCTTTGTAGCGCTGCACTTCTCCTTCTGACCCCTTCTTAACCTTGAAAACCCATTTACTGCCAATGGCCTTCTTACCGGGAGGCAGCTCAGTGAGTGTCCAGGTCTTGTTCTGATGCAGTGCATCCATCTCCTCCTGCGCGGCCTTCCTCCAGAGACTGGCTTCTGCAGCTGGCATCTCCTGTATCTCTTCCCAAGTGGAAGGTTCCTGTGGAAACGCCGACCCTGGAAAGTAGGACAACCGTAATGATGGGACACCTCTGTTGGTTCTGGACGAGCGCCTGACCTCTGGTTCTGTGACCGCATCAGCTTCCTCATCCTCCTCCAACGCAGGCATGTCCCCATCTGAGTCCTCCTCTTCGTCTCTGGTGCCGCCAGGGTTCTGGTCCTCTGCGTCTTCTGGTGCGTCGCCTGTAGGGGGCGCTGCAACACTCGAAGGCAGATTATTACTTTGTGGGGTCTCAAAAGGGAAATATACGAACTCTTGAGTCCTTTCTGACTCATCTGAAGAACCCACAACAGTGTTCTTAGTGTCTACTTTTCCATATTCATCAACATAAACCGCATGGTATGCATTTGTCTTACCAGTTTGTAAGTCCATAATTCTGTACCCTTTGCCTCCAGAGGCATATCCCAAAAGGATACCTGCTTTTGCCCTGGAGTCAAGCTTGTGTCTGTGTTCCTTGGGCAAGTGGAAGTAACACGGACTTCCAAACACACGTATGTGCGACAGATTGGGAGCTTTCCCATGCCAAAGTTCAAATGGTGTGCGCTCTGCACCTTTAGTTGGCAGGCTATTCTGCAAATAGACCGACGTGTATACTCCTTCGGCCCACAGCTTCTGTGGCAAACATGCTTCCTTTAGCATGCACCTTGTCATATCCATAATGGACCTAAATTTTCTCTCAGCTATGGCATTCTGCTGTGGTGTGTAAGGAATTGTGGTTACATGTGAAATTCCTTCCTTGGCCAGGAGAGCCTGCATTTCATTTGAGCAGTACTCACCTCCATTGTCGCTCATTAGCACAGCTGGAGCTCTCTGGAATTTGTTCTTGACCATGGCAATGTATTCCTGGAGCTTGCCCACTGTCTCACTCTTCTCTTTGAGGAAATATACAACACAAAATCTTGAAAAGTCATCCAGAAATATTAAAATATATCTATTCTTTCCCAGTGAGGGAACATTCATGGGTCCACATATGTCAGTGTGCACTATGTCAAGCACTTTGTTGCTTCTTTGTTCTGCACAACGTGGAAATGAAGGTTTTACAGCCTTCTCAGTAATATAGCTTATGCACTTTGCTGGAGCTTTGTTGCTCTGCTTTACCTGCAAACCTCTTACAAGATCTCTTTTCTGTAGATCCAGAATGACATTGGTATCCCTATGTCCAAGCCTTCTGTGCCATAGGTCCAGATCTGCTTCATCCTTCTGGCTGGAATGTGCCACTTCTGCAGACTGGTTCTCTGAAAGATCAAGCTCATATACACCATTTATTAGCTTTGCTTGAGCAACCACTTTGCCATTTTTAGTCACCTTGCATTCTTCATTTCCAAATGTAATCTGGAAACCTTTCTTGTCCAATGTGGACACGCTGATTAAATTGCAGCTCAGCTCTGGAACAAAACTCTAGAGATTGTGTTCTCAGTGCATTCATTGTTTATATTGCATTTCAGACTCATGGAACCTGCACCTTTTGCTTTAACAATGTTGCCATCTGCAATCTCAATTTCAGATCCTTCTTCATCATTTATCTCATTAATCTCATTAAAATAGTCCTTTTTATATGAAAAATGCAAACTGGCACCTGAATCTAAAATCCATTTATTACGTTATTTTCACGATTCTGGACAGCTAAATTCCTTTCTTGCAGTAGCCATGTGCATTCACATTTCCCCTTCTTTTCCCCTTTTGGCTGAAAGGGGTGGGGTTTCTTTGCTTTAGGAGCCCTTCTTTGTTACAATTGAAACAAATCACTTTCTTAGGCATCTCTTTGGACTTTGTAAATTGCCTAGATGCATAACTGCTGTCCTTGATTTTAGCATTTCTCACTGGAGATTCAGCTCTATCTATGCATTCTTCTTTTAAATAACCAATCAAGTCTTTAAAGGTCAGACCTTGTCTATGGTCCATCAAACTTACAAAAGCGCTAAAGCGTGGTCCAAGTGATGATAACAAAAATGCTATCTTTGTATCTTCATCAAAAGCTTTGGGAGTCAGATCAATTCTTTGAATAATCTCAGTAAACTTGTTGATGTGCTCTGTGAATTCCTGTTTTGAATTCATCCTCAATCTGGTTAATTTGCACACCAAGTTTCTGAAGCAGTTTATGCTAGATTCTCCATACACGCGCTCAATATCTCTTAAGATTTGAGACGCATCATCTGTACTATTTATTAATGATAGCTGCTCATCATTAGGTCCACTCAAAATTATGTGTCTAGCTTCGCTGTTCATGCATTTCCAAGCACTTATGTTGGCTAAAGCTTCCTCAGTTGTTCCTGTAGGTTGAGGGTTTAAAGCTTCCAAAATGTGCTTATAATCTAAGCATGCTATCAAGCGCTGCTTCCAGTGTATGAAATTGTGTTCATTCAGCACAGGCATTCCTAGCTTTGCATCACTATCAAAAGCTGCTCTAGCCATCTTAAAATCCAAAAAATTGAAAATTCTTCAAAATTTCAAAATTTCTCAAACTTTTAAAATCAAAATCTCAAAAATCTCAAAATACAAAACAATTCTTCACTGCCTTGGGTCACTGTGAACTCTGAGGGAAGGGGGGGTTGCTTAATCCCCACTGCACAATGGAACAAAGGACCATGTGCTTACCAGGAAGTTAACTCAGAAAAATACTACTCAACTCAAAATCACAATCCAACACAATCCTAAAAAAAAACCAACGCAGAAATATGCAATACTGGGCCCATAACCCTTTGTGGGAATGTTCTGGGGTGCAGGAGAGGATATATTGTGAGATTATATCCTAATCCAACTTGTGCTAACAAGTTCCCAAAATATCAGCAGAGTTTATGACATTCCCCTTTAAGTTCGCAATGGTAGAACCTCTATAATAATTACTCTGGTAATTTCCCCTTTGTTCCCTCTTAAAATACAAGACACAACACAGTCTTTATAAAAGTATAAAAGAGTTTACTCACGTTCTGTTCACAATATGATCCCAGAAGGCAGACAGCTTAAAAAGGTTACATACATTCAGAATCTATCTTGTAGCAAGATAGTCCTTATCTCCTCTCTTGGCTGAGAGCCAAGAGGGCATGCTTAGATGTTTCCTCATCAAAGGAAGATGGCAGAGAGAGAGAATGGCTGGCTGCCCTGTGCTTTTATCATTTACCTGCACAGGTGAGGCCACACCCACCTCTGGTCACATGTGGAGGAAGTCCATCCCCAGGAAGTTTACCTGCTTGCTAGACAGACATCCCTCCCCATGTTCTAACATGTACACTCTAGGAATGTTGTCATTGACTGCTCCTGCGTTTTACATCCCACAAAGTCATCCTGTACTGAGCCACACTATTGATCCTTCTGCTTCTATACTGTCAACGCTAACTAGATCAGGGGCTGTCCAGGGTTTCAGTCCGAGTTGTTCCCCCCCTCCCAGTCCAACCTGGAGATGCCCGTGATCGATCTTGAGAGCTTCTGCATCAAAAGCAGATTCTCTACTATTGAGCTGTGTGACAACCCTTCTCCTGCTACAACCTTGGAAGGTAGAGGCAATTTCTGCTTCAGTTGCTTGGCTGCAGAAACACCACTTGTGAATTAAAAAACGGTTGATTGTGGCACAGTGATAAGAGCCTTAAGTGTAATCTTGAGACTTTCGTGTTTTTTGTTTGATCCTGCTCTGGGCAGAATTTTCAATCATCTACCTCCTATTGGCTTCTGCATTAATCCTCTTGAAAGACACACGTAGCTTATTTCAGATGTTTTAAAGCACTTTTCTTCACCTTAGTGTGCAGTGGCTCTCAGTGATCCTTCTCCTCTCTGCCCCTCTTGACCCTTTTCTAAGAAGCTGTTTTCTCTTTCCTCTCTAGAATGTGCTCCTTTCAGAATGGTTGTCTGGAAGCTTGTTTGCTTATTTGGGTTTTTTCACTCTGACAATCAAGGAGGAGTGACCTAAAAAAAAGAAAGTATTAAAACATTTTGAAGATCAGAAAGAAAGAAAGAAAGAAAGGCCTTTGCAAATCCAATACTTGACACTGCCTCTCTCCAGCAGTTGCTACAGCTGAAGTGTTGGACACTTTAAAGTAGCAATCCAGTCTTAAAGGGATTTATATGCGAAATTTGGTGGAATCCAAAATGACTGATTTTTGTTCACATCAGATCACGTCTTGCATATTTTAATTTATTTGTTTAAAAGCATTGCTTGACAGCTTTAATATGTTAAAAATCTCTTAAGTGGGTGTATTCTTTACACTGATTTATTTATTCAGCCTATCATTAATTTATTGATTACCTTCCTTCACCCTAAAGTCCCAGGATGGGTTTACAGCATTAAACACTACATAAAAGCAATTTAAAACAGCTATGCCCCACCCTTGCTCCAGAAGGTTACCAGGCCACCAAACCTATCAATAAGAATAAGAATAAGAATAAGAATAAGAATAATATATTAAGCATTATAAAAGCAGTTAAAAACAAACTCTCAACCAGTGATTTCAGGGGTTGCCAGGCATGGTATTGTTCTGAGCTTATAGTGTGACAGAAAAGATTTTTGGAAGATGCTCTTTTGAAATACCAATCCTCTGGTTACCAGTATCTCAGAGGGGCCTTGGGGTGGGGGTTGTTGTTGTTGGGCTTCTTTGTTTTGTACCGCAGTGTCTATCAACTCCCCAAATGGATGCATGCAATCTGCCTGATTCTTATTTTATTTGATCTTGAACATCCCCCATTAACGCTTGTTACACTTTGATATTTAAATTAGCTGTGTCCTGATGAGAGAATGCATTTGCTTTCCCAGAGAGACTGTATCGGGGAGATGGATTTACTCAGCCAAGTGTTGTAGCTATTGCTGTATACACACACACACACATATTAAAACATATTATATCACACATCTGGAATGTTGCTCAGTGCATTGAACACTGTCCAGCCACACAAAGCTTAGCAAATGGGCAGTTGAAAAGTTGGGGGGGGGAGACAATGCGAGGTTCTGTGTCTGCAGTGGAAAATGGTGTGGGATGCGGGGAGGGAATCCATGGACTCAGCTATACAGCTGCAAACAACATTTTAAGTGTGTTTTAAGTGCATTATCAAGGGACGCGGGTGGCGCTGTGGGTTAAGCCACAGAGCCTAGGACTTGCCGATCAGAAGGTTGGCGGTTCAAATCCCGCGACAGGGTAAGCTCCTGTTGTTCGGTCCCTGCTCCTGCCAACCTAGCAGTTTGAAAGCACAAAAGTGCAAGTAGATAAATAGGTACCACTCCGGCGGGAAGGTAAATGGTGTTTCCGTGCGCTGCTCTGGTTTGCCAGAAGCAGCTTAGTCATGCTGGCCACATGACCCAGAAGCTGTACGCCGGCTCCCTCGGCCAATAAAGCGAGATGAGCGCCGCAACCCCAGAGTCGGTCACGACTGGACCTAATGGTCAGGGGTCCCTTTACCTTTAAGTGCATTATTATACAAATGAGTCACTAGATGGCAATGGTGAGCTAATGGCAAATTCAACATATATTTTAAAACTTTCTTTTAAAAGAGCGTTTTCACAGTGCTTTTTTATATATGTCTAGATTCAGCCCAGGTAGCATTGCCTGACTGGGTCAAAACAGGTTGCATAATTAGAAGCATAGAATTGTAGAGTTGGAGTTTGGTTGATCTCTGTCTTGGTGCTTCTGTTTCCAGGTGCCTTCCTCATACCTTACATACTCTTCCTCGTCATTGCTGGGATGCCCTTATTCTATATGGAACTAGCTTTGGGCCAATATAACAGAGAAGGGGCTGCCACCGTATGGAAAATCTGTCCACTTTTTAAAGGTAAATCCCAGGCTTTCTGCTTAATATATTTGCAATATCTTCTGGAGTTTCTTGATATTGAACACATCTCCGAGGCTTGCATTGAAAGTTTTTGGCAAGGCCAGAATAGCTAACATCTGTATTTTGAGAGTCACTTGTCACTAATGCCTTTATTGCTCATCAGCAAAAAATAGACTTTAGGGCAGCCTTTAGTAACTTCCAGATGTTTTGCGCTACAACTTCCATCAGCCGCAATCAGCAATGGTGCACTGGCTGAGGCTGACAGGAGTTGTATTCCCAAACATCTGGAGGGCACCAAGTTGGTGAAGATAGACACCATTTTGCATGACGATATACAGGAGATTTTTTAAAAGGTTCCTCCAGGGAAAGTGTTAGCTATTTGACAAGTCTAAAAATATCTGGGCAAATGCTGATGAACTATCTCTGCCCAAAAGCATCCACCTTATTAACAACAAAAAGATGCCGTGCTCATCAACAGGTCTGCACAAATCTCCAAAACAAACAAGTCTTTAATAAAACTGTAGTGAATTATTATAAGAATGCTGGATTAGACGGCACATTGGTCTCATCCAGGAGTCTCCTCTGTTCTTTTGCTGCCACCGTTGCAAAACTGCTAGCAAAAGTGAAAACAACAACAGGGGTGGAGTCTGGTGCAAACGCACCCTGAGCTAAGCCAAAATTTGGTGCACCACCTCCGCAGCCCTCACGCAGTGCCAGGCTTTGGGAAGGAGGTGGGAGGCTCTGGCAGGATCCTAGAGGCTTTCCTTCTCCTTCCCAAAGCTGGGACTAAGCTTTGTGAAGGAGGTGAGAGGACTCTAGGCCCCTGCCAGAGACCTCAGGCTTCTTTCCCATAGCTGTGCAAGTGCTTCTATCCACTCAGTACCCAGCACAGGGGAACTGGCCAGGCTGCCCTAAAACTGCCTCTGATAATAATAATAATAATAATAATAATAATAATAATAATAATAATAATTTACTTGTACCCCGCCCATGGTTTCCCCAGCCACTCTTGGTGGCTTCCCACAAAGATTAAAAATACATTAAAATGTCACACATTAAAAACTTCCCTGAACAGGGCTGCCTTCAGATTTCTTCTAAATGTCAGGTAGCTGTTTATCTACCTGAAAGGGTAGGGAATCAGGGTCATTCCTCTTTCTGCCATCTTTTCCCACCTGCCTCGTTTTTAAACTAGAACTTCCCCCATGAGAATTTTGTCTCACTGACTCACTCTCAGTTTTCTGTTTTTTTCACAACACCCCCAAGTTAGCAGTCTGGTGTTGCCTGCCTCACCTGAACAATAGGAACAGCCATGGTGGATCTCTGTATGTTGCCATTTAAACTCTAGTACATTTGGACCCAGAGTAAAAATGTAGCCGTTGATGAAATGCTGGTAGTGGGAAAGCCTTGGACAGAGCTCAGTTCAAAGCTCTAGCTTTGGGTGCCATGGGCTGCAACCTGCTCCAGAGCTCTCATTTTCATGGTTTTTCATGAATTTGAATCTTTAGTGGTGATGATAAGCCAACAGTTTATTCCTAATTAGTTAAAAACATTCCTAATTGTGGGGGGGAGGGAGAGTGAGAAGTTGGCTAATTTTAGTTTGCTGCACCTGGAAAGACCCTTTGGACCAGAAAGCAAACAGACATTAAACACAACAGGCTAATATTAGATATAAATGGCAGTGCTGTAAAATCTGGGACTTGGTGGTAACGATGTGAGCCTGCCGTGTTTGGCACCAGGAGCGTACCCTGCAATCACTGTGGAAGTATTCATTCAAATGTTGGGATAAGAAGGCTGCCTTCAACCACTTGGGTGTCACCCAGCTGTTGTAAATAGCAGGCTGTGTCCAGATTTGCTTCTCAAATTTACTCTAATGACATGCTAGAATAATATACCCCACGGGTGCTATTCTGGATTTTCAGTTTGGGTTTACACTACTTTTATACACATTTTTGCTAGGATTGACAAGCCAATCAATTAACCAGGCAGATCATCAGTTTACTGTTAAATGTTGTCAAATATTCTAACATACAGGTCACAGATTACCTTTGCAAGAACCTTTTAAAAGTTGGCCGTTATTGCTATTTTAGCATCTTTCACCTTTACAACAGCATTTTTTCAATAAAAAGGATTAACTTTTTTTTATTTTTTTTAAAAAGGTAATAGAATCGAATTGTAGTGTTGGAAGGGATCCCGAGGGTCATCTAGTCACCTCCCGAAATGCGGGAGTCTCAACTAAATCATACATGACAGATGGCCATCCAGCGTCTGCTTAAGAACCTCCAATGAAGGAGAGTCTGTCACCTGTCAAGGGAGTCATGTTTTAAGTCTTCTTTTTTTTAAAAAAAGTTGCTATTACTTTCTACTATTGGAATTTTTGTATATTTCAGTAGCTGGGCACCTTTGGGAGGAAAGCCAGAAATAATAATAATAATAAGTGCAAAACATGACCCTGCTATAAAAACCCAAGTAAAGAACTATGCCAGGAATTATTTGCATTTACAGTTTACAATAATTCACTGCACTTTCCTTAAAAAGTTAATTTAAATGTTATCACAATATGTTAGCTATTTTTTTGTAATTAGCATAAATATTTGGGTTGCTTGTTTTAATTATGGTGATTTCTCCCCTACCTTTCAAGTAAAAGGCTCTTGGTTTTCTGCTGTAGGTATTTAAGCAGAGACTGGACAAGTCATCTCTCAGGGATGCTGCAGTTGCACCCTGCATTGCAGATCCTGCTTTGAGCAGAGGGCTGGACTTGATTACTTTCAAGATCCCTTCCAACTCAATTTTTTAATTAAATTTGGCATCCATATGGTCAGAAATACAACAAAGCAGGGAAACACAAAGACTGTGCCTTGATTGACCAGCCTATGTACCCCACCCTGAATGAAAGCCGATCTAGCTTCCCAGCACCAAGCAAATGCCTTGGTGTTAGATTATTATTGTTAATAATATTTGGCAAATAGTTGGTTGGGGTGATGAGCAATGGCACCCTCTTCTAGCCCTCACTAGGAAGTTGAATCTGATGTGACTTATAGCTTCATGTGTAATCTGGTTTTCCTTTGTCTTCAGGTGTAGGCTATGCTGTGATACTCATAGCTCTATACGTGGGTTTCTACTACAACGTTATCATAGCTTGGTCTCTGTATTATCTGTTTGCATCCTTCACACTGGAGGAGCTTCCCTGGACGAAGTGTGGCAACCCCTGGAACAGCCCCAACTGCATAGACCCCAAACTCATCAATGCCTCAACATTTGCCGCTGGAACCACTTATTCCAAGTACAAGATAACTCCTGCAGCTGAATTTTATGAGTAAGTCTGGGGCTCCTTGTGGCTTTCACTTTTGGAAAACACTTTGCAGTTGCTCTGGGATGTATTTAAGGGCCTCTTCTGACATCCCTTTAAATATGCATCCATGATGATTTGTGCTCGTGATGGTTGTCACCAGTGCTTTTTTTCTAGAAAAAATAGGTGCCAACATGAAGTTGTTACAGTAAGTGTCACACTTTTTAACGACAACCCCCCCCCAAAGGTGCTGGTACTGCGTACCCTTGAGTACCCTGGAGAGAGCACTGGTCATCACAATAGTTATACACAATCTCACTTTTTTATACACAATCTCACTTTCATTACCATTTGAACCTGCTAATATTTGGGGTGGCCAAGCTGCTTCATTTACAATTGATGCATGCCCTGTAGCTTCCTGCTCAAACCCTGCAACTTTTTATACCACAGTTGTCCTGGGTTTGTGCATGTTCCCCACTTTTGTAGCTCAAGGCAACAATAATGGGCAATCCAGCATTAAAAAAAAAGGTAAAGGACCCCTGACAGTTAAGTCCATTTGCGAACGACTCTGGGGTTGTAGCGCTCATCTCACTTTACTGGCCAAGGAACCGGCATTTGTCCGCAGACAGTTTTTCCGGGTCATGTAGCCAGCATGACTAAGCTGCTTCTGGTGAAACCAGAGCAGTGCATGGAAATGCTGTTTACCTTCCTGCCAGAGCGGTGCCTATTTATCTATTTGCACTTTGACATGCTTTCGAACTGCTAGGTTGGCAGGAGCTGGGACTGAACAATGGGAGCTCACCCTGTTGCAGGGATTCGAACTGCCGACCTTCCGATCGGCAAGCCCTAGGCTCAGTGGTTTACACCACAGCGCTACCCGTATCCAGCATTACTCTACCACTAAATGCACTCTTACTGCATCAATGACTTGTTGCCAACCTCTCCACTAATCTGAAGGGAGCCTAAGTCATGCCCCACCAATCATTTTTTGGCATGGGGGCACATGCGTATTTTTGAGTGAGTATTGTGGACACCACTGCCTCTAGCCACTTATTTTTCCTCTGCCCCAGATCAGCCACTTTTCCTGGGGACAAGAAGCATGATTGCACCTGCACACAAACTTTGCTTTCAAGAGATCTTGATAAAAGTTCTATCTAACAGAATTAACCCGAACCTTGAAAAACACATAGAGATGAAAGTGGAAGTGGGAAAGAGTGCCCTTCTTCCATCCTCCTCCATCTCCTCGATCTACTTTTCATGGGAGAAAAAAGTAACCAGGGGCCAAGTTAAACCCCTGATATCTCCTGGAAGGGCTGGAAGAGAACCCTATCTGCAATCTTTGAGAGCTGCTGCCAGTCAGTACTGAGCTAGAAGAACCAATAGTTTGACTGAGTATGAGTCAGCTTCCTGTGTCCCTTTGTTCCCCTGAACCCACTCAACAATGGAAATAAGTTTCCTGAGTCTGAATGCTGTATTCAGGATGGAGCAATTGACGATTCAGATCCTCATGTAGACATTGATACCACTGTTTGTGGATTGCTGCTGACACATCTGTGGGACCTAGTGGATGCTTCAGTTTCATTATCTTTGAGCCTCTTTCGGTCTGTGTTATTAAATGGCACAGAATTCATGATTGTTATTAGCCAAGGCACAATGTAAAATACTAAGTGGCTGTCTATTGCAACACACACACACACACCCATAGGTCTCTATTATTTGATCTAGGCAGTAATTATGGCAGTGAAAGTGGTAATAGACGTGTAGTGTTTTCTATTATTTCCTCTATAGTTGTATCAAAAAGATAATGCAAGAGAGAAGTCCGGAAAGTGGTGCTCCTTACTCAAGTTGGCCTCACAACACAGGGATGGAGCAATTTCCCTCTCAGCAAAGTTTATTTGTTTAACAATCTGTTTCACATTGTAGTATTAATGTGTTTTCTTTTTAGAAGACAAACAAATACATTGACCAGTTTTAGAACCATGGGATCATTTATTACCTTTAAACCTTTAAGCATTTCCCCTCATTATTTTCATAAGCTTCAACAGGCATAATCAAATGCCACATAATACTAAAAACAAATAATAAAAATAAAAGCAGCTATTTTCTCCCACCGTCTCTAATCTAGCACCTTTCAGATGTTACTGGACTACAACTTCCATCTTCCCTGACTGTTGGCCATGCTGGCTGGAGCTGATGGGAGTTGGTGTCTGACAACATCTGGAGGGTCAGAGGTCTAATGAATGTTCATAATGGTTTTGCCATTAGTTGTTGTTGTTGTTGTTGTTGTTGTTGTTGTTGTTATTATTATTAATTAAATTTATATACCGCCCTATATCTGAGGATCACAGGGAGGTTTACAATATAACAACACAAGAATACATACTATAGTAACACACAATAACCCCTTCACAGAGTTTAAAAGGCCATAGATTGTTTAATTAGCTGAAGGCCTTGGAGAAGTGGAATGTTTTTGCCTCCTGCCTAAAGATATGAAATGGAATGAAGGCATGATCTAGGGCACAGGGGAAATGGGGAAGGCTGTGCTGTAGATAAAAACAACCAAGAACAGCTTTATCATTTTCTTCTTGCGAATGTAACATCCCACATTAACCTTGGTTTGGTTTTTATGTGTTTGTTTCATGAGGTTCTGTTTTGTTATTTGGGTTATGTGGATAAAATTTAATAAAAATATTTTTTAAAACCAGAAGTTTGGAGGGACACTTTTACAGTCTGATTCACAGCTGTTAGGCTGTGCCCCTGAATCCATGTGCTGACAGAAACGACTTCGAAGTGGAAGCCTTCATATATACAGCTGTGCATACCAAAACTCACATGCAATTGGTCCATGAAAACATAGGAGGCATCATTATACCTGGTCAGTTCATTGGCAGCGGCTCTCCAGGGTTTCTCCAGGTGTCTCTCTCATCTCTACCTTGAGATGCACCTTCTGCATGCCAATCAGATGTTCTACCACTGAGCTATGTCCCTAATCACTGTTCTATAGAGACAGTTTTGAGATAACTTCTGGGATCTATTTTTGAAAAATGTGTCCCCATTGCCTCTCTGTCCCAGCATGCCTCTCAATTTCCTTTGCCCAGCTTCATTACTCTGAAAGCAATTTGCTTCAGCAATATCTTAAGCTTGAAACAGCTGCAAGAGAGGGTTTGAACCTATTATTTTCCACATGCAAATTTGTGGGTGGTGAAAACTGGAAAATTATTTTGCTGAGTTTTCCCCCAGGAGAGGAGAAAATCTCTGAACAATATCTATAGAGATATGGTTTCTACGTCATGTGTTTAAGAGTAGGGTGTTTGTTTTTTCTGGCTCCATCTTAAAGACCAAGATTGAAAAACAAAGTGGGCACATCTCATCAAGGCATTTCACATTCTTTTAAATTCTGTTTCCTGTTTAGGCTTCATGTCCTTTTAACAACGACATAAAGAGTGGACTTTCAATACAGCTCACAAAGGAAAAATTGAATCCACAATAGAGGGCAATCTAAGGGTCTTGGGTTTAGTTTGTATCCCTAATGACCATAATCTTTTTTTTCTTTTCTTTTTTGTCAGAGGTCTCTAAGGCTCCATCTATACCATGTATATAAAACTGTATCATACTCCATTAAACAGCCATGCCCCCCCCGAGTCCTGGGAAATGTAATTTGCTAAGGCTGCTGAGAGTTGTAATGAGACCCCTATTTCCCCCCAGAGCACTACAAACTACACTTCCTAGGATCCTAAGCCTCTATTTGCCTCACCAAGCTACCATTTCCAGAGTCCCCTGGCAAGAGGGATTGACTGTTTAAATCACTCTGAGTATTGTAGCTCTGGGAGGGGAAATGAGATGTATTTATGGGAGAACAAATGGTTCACTTTGCCCAGGGCAACAAATTCATGGGAGCATTTGCAACACCACCGGGGGGGGGGGGGCAGGCTGAACTCTTAGCTTTCATTTTCTTAAAGTTCTCTCCACTATGAGAAAAGGATGCTGGACTAGATGGGCCATGGGCCTGATCCAAGAGGCTCATTTTAGGGTCTTGGGCTTAGAGGGATGAATTTACCCTTCTGGGCCAGAGGTTCCACACCCCTACTCTAAAGCAAGAGTGTATATTCGGGGTACTTTCACAGCTAAGGCAAATCCTGTGTAAAGTGACCCACTTGAGTATGCATTTTTGCTTAAGGACACAAGAAATGCCTTGATGGGGCAAAAAGAGATCCACCTAGTCCAGCGTCCTTTGCAACAATCCCTGAGTAAACTGCCAGAAATTGATTACTAGCTCACCGCTGAACATGGCCTACATCGTTGCTTAAGAGGAATGACAAAATATGCCTGGGGGGTGCAGGAGGGCTCCCCCTCCAATCCAGGACACCTAGATGACCAGTCCTGACATCAAACTGAGCTGTGTATTACTTTCTATTTGTTTTTACTTCTATGTTTTTCAGACCCCTTGTTGAGACCTGATCTTGACAAACAGTTCACTGTTTGTGTGTTCAGACCCAGAGACCGCCCCCCTAAATAAACACACATTTGACTCAAATTTTAGTTTTGGTTTTTGGCAGAATTTAGGCCACAACTTTATTGATCACAGAAAGTGAGTGGTTGCATAGGCTCTGGTTCGACTAGTTCCCTGCACCCTTGTAGGTAGCTCTGACCCAGAGCTCTATCATAGGTCAGCCAAGGGTGAACACCTGAGGTAGGTGGAAAGCCTGGGAGCAGACTATGTCCACTCCCCAGATGCTCCCCTGGACTCAGGCATGGGCACAACCCCCAAGAGGGGGTTGACCATACCAAGTTGAGTCCCTGGATTCCTTTAACAGAATACACTTCACATAGGGATGGCGAGACTGTTCTCCCATCCCTATCACCTGACCCAGTGCCTATCTGCAACCTTACAAGTTGTGACAATTTGCTACGCGGCAAACAAAACCCAAATGGCAACAGCCAATCAGCTAAGTGGGGAAAATTCCTGCCGTGCCCCTGTCCCAATGACAGACAATGCATGACGGCATAGCAAGGTCAATTGCAAAATACCTCAAATATAGGGAGAGGTGGGTGGGTGTTCAAATGCACGAGCCGAAAGAGGAAGCTCTGGGTCATGTGCATAGGTATATATAGGTCCCTCAATCTGTTTAGACTGCACCCCATTGGCCAAATTAAACCCAGCAACGAGGGACCTACCAGTCGGGTGTTGTGGCTGTCCAATTAACCCACCCACAACACAGGAGGTCAGTGTCCAGGTCTCACTACAACATGTGCCCTCTTTTAGGGAGGACATGCTTTGCTGAAACTAAGTCACACCACTTCAAATAAGTGTGGAGCCAGTTAGTGATTGTTTTTCCATACAAAAGGATCTAACTCAATCCCTCTTCTGTCTCTTTTTGCTTAGGCGGAGAGTTCTACAGCTTCACCTAAGCCGGGGGATTCATGATATTGGCTTGCCCCAATGGCAGCTCACACTGTGTCTCGTGGTTGTGGTGATCACTGTTTTCTTCAGCCTGTGGAAAGGTGTGAAGACTTCAGGAAAGGTTGGCAAATATTTTCCTAATACATACATTTTTTTCTTTAAAAAGGGCTTTTCTATTAGGGTTTTGGTGGTTCAGATGTAACATCAAACCATGGTTTGCACAGAACACTCTCTACTTTCAAGCCATGCTTTGTGTTCCAGACATATAGGCACACAGTGGTTCATGCAGCTTCCACCTTCCCTTCACCTTCTCTGATGCTATGCCAAGCAGTGGAGTACCCCCTAAACTGTGAGCCTGTCATTAACTGGCTGGATGCAGAGTTGTGGTGGGAGGCACCAGCTGGGGAACCCCCAAGGTCAGAAGCCCCAAAGGTAACAGGGTTGGTGAGCAGGAAGAGGTTATGGCAGAGGGCAGCTCAGACTCTGAGGCAGAAGCGGAGGCTGGAGGAGAGTGGGGCCAGAAGACAGAGAGGCAGACTGCTGAAGAAGTAGGGAGTCTCCCCCTCCTGCTGTGGCCAGCTTCCCTTCCCCTGGGTCTCCTAGAACACAGAGAAAAATGAAGAGAGTGGAGCACAATTTGCAACTGCTTGGGAAATACCTTGGAGAGGAGGAGCCTTAGGGAAGCCGGGACCATCAATCAGTTCCTGCATTTGCCTTGTTGGAACAAAACCTACTGGGAAGAGTTGCTGTTATGGTTTCTGGAATAAAGAGTTAACTTCACTGACTCTGGGTTGATAGCTGACCCACATTTGACTCTAGCTCCTGACAGCCTCAACCCATCTAAGACTGACCTTACCCCACTCACGACACTTTTGTATTGACTCAATTAAGTTTCAGCTTCTTTGTCCCCATCATCCATTCCAAATTACCAAGGCTATATCCAGATACCTGTTCAGACTTCCATTGCCTCCCTTGATTAGGTGCCAGAGACTGAACATGGTTTGATTGAGGTTTGTTTTATGTAACCGCAGTTAGATCAAGCCACGATTTTCTGCATTTAGACTTAATGGCAAATTCTGCTTAGTTCAGTCTCTCTTTATACATGAAAAGCAGAAGGGAGAAAGGAATGGGGAGCAAGACAACCTTGTTCTGATGTATTTTTTGCTCTAGGAGGTTTAGTTTGGCCAGAATCAAATATTCACTCCCAGAGTTGGTGCTAAATACTGCTACGTGAGCCACCATAGCCACTAGAAGGCCATGAAAATTTGTGCCCCGGGCTTTTAAGACTCGTCTACCCATGTATTATCTGAAACCAAAGGGGCACATTGGTTGCCAGATGTGAATCCCCCCCAGCTCTCCTACCCCACTATACTGAAATGGAAAGATGCTGTTCAAATGGTTGGTTGCATTTCTTTTTTAACAACGAAAAAAGCAGTCAAAGAGAGAGGAGCATCTCCACCCCCATCGTTCAGCCAGGACACTGAGGTCCAGCTCCCAAAGGCCTTCTGGCGGTTCCCTCCCTGCGAGAAGTGAGGTTACAGGGAACCAGGCAGAGGGCCTTCTCGGTAGTGGCATCCATCCCTTGGAATGCCCTTCCATCAGATGCCAAGGAAATAAACAACTATCTGACTTTTAGAAAACATCTGAAGGCAGCCCTGTTTATGGAAGTTTTGTTGTGCTTTTAGTATTCTGTTGGGAGCCACCCAGAGTGGCTGGGGAGGCCCGGCCAGATGGGTGGTGTATAAGTAATAAATTGTTGTTGTTGTTGTTGTTGTTGCTGCTGCTGCAGTAGTAATGCTGTCTTTGCCATTCAAGAGACAGATCAATATTTTTTGTTGCTTGTCTTAACTTAATAGGTTGTATGGATAACAGCCACATTGCCTTACGTTGTTTTATCCGTACTGTTAATCCATGGACTGACATTGCCTGGTGCGTATGATGGAATCAAAGCATACCTCAACATTGACTTTAGAAGATTAAAAGAAGCCACAGTGAGTGCTTTGTTTCAACCTTCGCATTTACCATTGAAAAGGAGATTACAGTAACAAACCAAGTTTGTTCATTCACATGCAGTTTCATTGGATAGAGAGATGTTTTTATGCCTCTTTCATAATAATAGAACACTTGGACATCCAACAAGGCTGAATGTTGACAGATGGAGGTCTGGTTAAATAAAGCACCTCTTTATATATTGCATGGTTAAGCAATGGAACTCACCCTCCCGCCCACAGGAGGCAGTGATGACCACCAACTTGGATGGATTTAAAAGAGGATTGGACAAGTTCGTGGATAAAGATATCAGTGGCTAGCAGCCATTATGGTTATGGACCAAGGTAGTAATGCTTCTGAACATCAGTTGCTAGAAATCACACGTGGGGAGAGCGCTCTTGTGCTTGGGATCTGCTGGTCAGTTTCTCAGAGGCATCCAGGTGGCCAGTGTGAGAAGAGGATGCTGAACTAGATGAGTCATTAGCCTGACCCAGCAGGCTCTTCTTATCTTCTTAATTAACAACAACAAAATTCAGTACACCGTGCTGTATTAAGAGCTTTCCATGTGCACTCATGCTTAGAGATGCTAGGGAATTGCATCTGTTAAGGGTCATGTACTTAACAGATGTGTTATTTAGGTAATTCAAGATGAACCTCTGCCTTTTAGAACTGGGTGGCTGTCAGTGACAAAGTGGTGGACCTAAGTCACAGCTTTGTCTATTTGCTGTTCATTTCCAGGCCCAATTCAAGCTGCTTCATGTTGCTATTCTCTGGGGTTATCCCATATCTTCTCAAAGGTACCTGATACTGAACAATGAATCCCTGCGTCTGGAATGCCTACAGCAGGAAGTTGTAACCTCATTGGCTCCCCAGCATTGAATGAATTGCTGTCCTGCAGACATCTAGTGTCTCTTTCACAAAAGGAGCAGCAGTAGCTACCCAGTGAAATCTGAGATGCCAGGAAGAGTGTGTCTCCCTTCTTCATTGTTCTCTGTGAAGAGCTTCCTGCAAATACTTTAGTGTTTGTGGGTACCCTGGTTGTTTTTCTCTTCCTCAGACTATAAATCTGCCTATGATTGTTTGCCAGCAAGAATCATGCATTACCACAATGGCGTAGTAATGCTTGCAATGACGCAATGCTAAAGCTTAGAAGAAGAGACTGGCTGGCACCTCTTGGGAAAATATTTAGGAAACTTGAAGTAGTTTTGGGTAAACAGTTCTGCGTAGTACTAGTGCTGTTGAAGTCAACATATAGCACAAATGTAGATTGCAGCCTGCAGCTGTGGTGTACTTGGAATTAAAGCAAAAACAACAGTTGGATTTATTTTTAAATGCATATGGCATGTGTCAGAGGTGAGAAATAAAAGAGTTTTAAGCTTAAACCATGCAGGAAGTAAATTTATTGGTGTGGGGGGAATGGAAGGTCAGGGAACGGTTATGGTGGAACAAATTATCTGAATTAGATGTGGCTTAAGGTTGAATCAGATGTAATATCTGCCCATTGGAATGACTTTTTTTAAAAAGTACAGTTTGAATGGTGCCTACCTTCATAAAGACTGACATGTACATATAACATGGGCCCTAGGTTGGCATACCTGTGGGCCTCTGAATGTTGTTGGACTCCAGCTCACATCAGCTCCAGCCACCATGGCTAATGGTCAGGGAAGATGGGAGCTGTAGTCAAGCAACCTCTGGAGAGATACATTTTCCTTTCCCCTCACCTAGGGCAAAGTAATTGCTAGGTGTCAACCAGTAAAAATAAGAGCATAAGAAGAGCCTGCTGGATCGGGTCAAAGGTCCATCTAACCATTAGATCCTATTCTCTCCCTCAAGCAGGACCTGAGCACAAGAGCACTCTCCCCTGTTGTGGTTTCTAGTATCTGATATTGAAAGGCATTTGCTGCCTGGAGGCAAAGCTAGTAGCCATTGATAGCCTTTTCCTCAATGAATTGTCTAATCCTCACTGGCCCTCACTGCCTCCTGTGGGAGGGAGTTCCATTGTCCCATAACTGTGTGCTGTGTGAAGAAGTTATTTCATCTACTGATCAACATTCAGCTTCATTGGATGTCCGTGACTTCTCTCGTGTTGTGATTGTTTTGTATTACTCAATCTGCCTGAGTCCAGCGATCCTCTGCTTGAATTCTGTGTCACATATCCCCAGTCCTATAGCATTTTTATTGGTTACCTGTTTGTTTCCAGGTTCAGTTGTGAGTGCTGGTGCCAACTTTCCCATCCATTAATGGCCTTCATTGACCTGGTGCCCTCCAGACGTTTTCTATGCCAGCTCCCATCAGCCCCAGCCAGCACAGGGGAGTTTTCATCCAAATTGTCTGGAGGGCACAGTGTCTCCTAGTACAAAGGTACATTAAGGACCATCTTCTCCCCCACTCAAACATGTCTAAACCTTAAGGGTGGTTTTGAGGACCAGGGGCTACCTAATCTGCACTTTCCAATGCAATACACAAACCTGAACACAGCTGCTATTTTAAATAACGTGCTTCTCCGAATTTTGTAATGCAGTTGTCCAGCCAAGTAATGCGTACAAAATGCATATGCTGGGGGCAAAGTGTTCACAAAAATTCATCTGTTAGTGGCAGAAATCACCCCGTTTGTAATTTAGGCAAATGCATACAAGCATATGCATATTAGAAAAAAATTGCACCAAAATGCCAATGAATTTTCATGAGGACTTCTTTTTTTAAAAAAATCATAATCATTAGCAAAGTGATTTGGAAGTGAACACTGGAAAAATGAGAAATGGAGAAGAACTGAGACTGACAGATTTGCCTCTCAGTCTGTCCTCAGGAGCCCAGTTTTCCTCCTCTGCTTCATGCTACAGATGTGCCTGTCCCCTGTCCTTGAAATACTAAAGTAGGACAACTGGGCTCAAATTCTTGCTCACCTGTGCTTTCTGGATTTCAGCAGAGCTTTCCCCCATTTCTTAGCTTTCAATCCATGAACTGGATCCCCCCCCAAACAAATTATATAACTGAAAATACAGTTGTTGTTGTTGTCGTTGCTGTTGCTGTTCAATTTTGCTATAATCCACAAACTACCTTCCTCTGTTCTGCTTATGCAGGTATGGATTGATGCAGCCACACAAATATTTTACTCCTTAGGGGCTGGGTTTGGGGTCTTAATTGCCTTCGCCAGCTACAATAGATTTGACAACAACTGCTACAGGTAAGCCACAATGCTATAAAACAACTCATGTCCCTGTAATCAATTTTATTTGCTTAAATAGATGAGGAATACATATTTTTGTTTGTTTGACAATTTTATTTTCATTTAAGTGTGTATGTTCTTAATAATAATGTGCAGAGTCAGTCTACCTTTACATTCCACAAACTGGGGAAATCAGCAGGAAAAGGTCAAAACAAGGCCTTGGCTTGTGAGCTTCCTAGAGTTATGTGGCTCAGTGGTAGAATGCCTGCTTTGCATGCAGAAGCTCTAAGGGCCAAGCCTGGCATCTCCAGGTAGGGCTGGGAGAGACCTCTGCTCGAAACCCTGGTGAGCCACACCAGTCAGTGAAGACAATGCTAAGCTAGATGGACCAAAGGTCTGACTCAGTATTAGTCAGCTTCCTATGTTTGCATGCATGTCTGTACAGTGCTGTCATTGTTCTGGAAAGAAGGTATTCATTCCTGACGTTACTGAACTTAAGAACCATACTGGACCCAGCTAGTCCAATATCTCGTTTCCTACACCAGCCAATAAAAAGCCTATGCAAAGTCCAAAAGAGCAACCACTTTCTCCTAATGTTCTTCCCTAGTGACTAGTTTTGTAGGGGCATGCAGTCTCTCATTCTGGAAGGTATTACATCACTCAGAGACAGGAAACCTGTTAAAAGATTAGCAGGGTTGAGTAAATATCAAGATCTTTGTGTGGCATCTAAGCCCCCATTCCGTGACCAATAAGCACATGACGCCTTTGCCCGGCGTCGCTGTGGCCCATAGATTTGCAGCAAAATACTGGGCAAGTTTTCTTCTCTGTGTGATGGGCTCATGGGAAAAAGCTGGCCCATGAGCCCTTGCTGCAGAGGGGAGGAGAAAGCCTATATAAGGCTGCTTCCCCTGGATCTCACAGCCATTTTGCTTTGACAGCATCTCGCCTATCCTCGGGTTAGAGCCTTCACTAAGCAAATTTGGGTCATTGGTTGACAGGGCCAGAAATGATTTTCTTTTCTCTCAACCTGATTGGCACTTCGTTGGGGTTTTTGGACCAGTGTGTCTGTTCCACTGAAGTAACAGTACCTGTCTCTTCTAAGCCACAATGGCTACACACAATTGGAGGCAGTTACGCTTCTGAATAGCAGTTGCTGGAAACCGCAGGACAGGAGAGGGCTCTTGTGCTCGGGTCCTGCTTGTGCATTTCTCACAGGCATCTGGTTGGTGACTCTGAGAACAGGATGCTGGACTAGATGGGCCATTGGCCTGATCCACCAGACTCTTCATGTTCCGTGAAATTCACAATGCTGCAATGAAGCAAATAGTGGCTTTGGCAGTCTGCTATTTTGTTTGTTTCAGATTTGAACTGGGCTTTAGATTTCCAAGTAAGATATTCCACTGTGACAATGAATGGGCATCATCTTGCAGCAGAAGCAACACCTGCAATCACATGCAGTTATCCAAATGACAACCATCTGCCTTTTTTTTTGCAATTACCGGTAGATTAACCAATCACTAGGAAGCATGCCTTTAAAATGAGAGAGAGAACCGTTTCCTGCATAATTGCTTTTATCCTGTAATCTGAGTATATTTGCCATGAAACATCTAAAATAGAGTGGGGATGCCACCCCACGCTGGATAAGAACTGCTTGAGGCGATAGTCACTATTGCATTACATTCTTCAAAGATTAATAATCCTGTCTTCCGCTCTTTGGCTCATATCATTCACTCTCTTCCATATATATAGCCTTTAGAATTGATGCAGGGAAAGTGGTCCCCAGATGGGCTCCAACTTCCATCAGCCCCAGCCACAATAGGCAATGGTTAGGGGTGATGAGAGTTGTGGTCCAACAACATCTGGTGGGCCACAGGTTTGCCACCTCCTTCTGTTTCCTTTGGAATCATTAAACTCTACAAGTCTGGCATATATATATATATACACACACACACACACACACACACACACACACACACACATCTATATATCTCCAGTGGCCTCCTTGAAAGTGAGGAAAGCACTCTACCCATGAGCTTTTCACAAAGGTTTCCGTACATTTTCAGTATAGCACTACTGAGTGATTTTTGAGGCTGAGTAGGAATTTGAACGCATGTCACCTGGCTCATCGTCTTAACACTTTAACCACTATGCCGAAGTAGTGTGGAGATCTCTTGAGATTTCTTTTCACTCGGACAAGGCCCATTGACTCTACCTGAGCCTTCTCTTCCTGACACTCGGAGTAGTAACACACTGACACCAGTCCACTCAAAATTGCAATCTACCACACGATGTCACCTCGAAACAGATGCTTTGGGCAGCAGAATTTGATGATATTGGTGTAAATTGATGCTGGGTGGTGGCCTTAAAAAACAGTAGTCAAATTGTATACAGTACTTAAAATTTGTGCTTAGCTCTACTAAAATGACATTGCATGAGGTTCTTAACTGGGTTTGGTACTGGGATCTGCTTGCTGCCTTTTCATCATCTCCTGATTTCTCCTAGGGATGCACTGATGACCAGTACAATCAATTGTGTCACTAGCTTCATCTCTGGATTTGCCATTTTTTCTATACTGGGCTACATGGCACACGTATACAAAGTCAAAATTCAAGATGTGGCCACCGAAGGTAAGAATGCATCCGCACACTTTCCTCGTTTCAAACTACATAAACCTATGCACCTCTCCTTTTTGGTTGAAAATGCCACATGACAGGATACAGCCAATGAATCTGAATGTTGCAGAATTCAGGACAGATAAATGACTCATCTACACAGTTTTAAATGTGTTGTAAAGTGCAGCATACAAGCGTGACACTAGATGGCAACAGTGGGCTATGCAAAATTCAATGTATTATTCAAAACATTTTTTAAAAAAGCATTTTCACAGCATTTTTTATATGTGTATAGATTCTACCAAAGAAAGCCCTTCTTCACACAGTGCATGGTTAATCTATGGAACTCACTCTCATAGAAGGCAGTGATGGCCACCAACTTGAATGGCTTTAGAATTAGGATTAAACATGGAAGAGAAGGCTATCAATGGCCGCTAGCCATCATGGCTATGCTCTACCTCCATGGCTGGAGGCAGCAGTGTTACTGAATAATAGTTTCTAGAGACTACAGGATGGGATAGTGCTACTTGTGCTAGGGTTTTGCTTGCGAATTTCCCACAGGCATTTGGGTGGCCACATTGAGAACCGGATGCTGGACTAGATGGGCCATTGGCTTCAACTAGCAGGCTCTTCTTGTGTTTTTAAATGCGCTACCAGCAGTACCACATTGGGTCCATTACTGTGTTTACACCACAGTGACCACACTGCCACCTCACTCCTCCTCCTCTCTCTCTTGGTAAGTGACAGTGACCCACCTACCCAGAAAATATAGCAATGGTATACTGTTATACAGTATGTATAGTCTGGTAAGCCTGCTGGTTGAAAGAATAAAGTATTGTAAGGTTTATTACTGCAGGCAAAGAAAGCCATTCTGAGTACAAGATTGCATGTGGAGTCATGTGGTTCGCAAAAAAAGGTCTAACACTAACTAACTGGAGGAAGAAGAGGAGGAAGGAAGCAAAGCCTGAGAATAAATGATCTACAGATAGTTACTTGTAGGCAACTTATTCTTCCCTCATCGATTCCATCTTGCCTTTCTGTTTATTCTACCCCCCACAACTGGTTCCGGTAACCAGCTTCGCTCCCAACAAGAAGCACATATCTAGGCTCCAAAGTACAATTTCTGGCTAATGTTTGTGTGTTCCCTCTGGGATTTATTTCCCTGGTCTATATGCAATGTCTGTCTATTTGTGCTGTTGACAAAGCCACTTCTGCACCACCTTGAAGCAGTACTTTTCTCCTTTTTCTCCTCTCGATTTTCACTTCTGGCCTATGTGCCTCTCTCAGTCTTCTGAGTTGCATGCTGTGAAATGAATGTGGTCTAATCCTGCAGAACTGGAAAGGTTTCTCTGTCTCATAAATGTTTTAAGAAAAGACTGGTTATTTTCAAGGCTTGTTTCCTTATTCATTTTATAGGGAATAATATTTTATTGTATCACTTGATGTTCTTATGCCAGGTGACAGTGTTGCTACCTATAACAAACATGAAAACAGCCAATCTTTTCTTAACACATTTTGGGCCCAAAGCAGAAGCCTTTCCAGGCAGGATTAGGCCACATACATTATGTTGCAAGCTGTGCAAGCAGCACTATAGTGACACCTTCTGACATATTACAAGCATTACAATGCAGCATATATAACTTTTAAGCCAAGGGTTGGGTGGGGGTAGGAAGGGAAGCAACTGAATTAGAGACAATATTAAAGAAGGCTCTCTAACCAAGGCATAACCAACCAATATTAAATATAAATATAAAATCTTGCCTTAAAGTTGTGCAATTAGGAAACTATTTTTCTTTCCTTCTTCTTCAGGAGCTGGATTAGTTTTCATCATTTATCCAGAAGCTATTTCAACCCTTAAAGGATCAACTTTTTGGGCAATAGTGTTTTTCATAATGCTGCTTTCACTGGGTATTGACAGTTCTGTAAGTATATGTTATTTTTCATTTGCAACATTCTTTATTCACACACATATATGAATGGCACTCCCATGCTGCTGCTCCATTTATGTAAGAGGTCCCACAGCAGAGATCATTCAGTTTTTAGCTTAAGGGTTAATTCTGTTATCAGTAAGCCAGGCCAACCAAGATGGTGGTGGAGGTGTTGCTTAGCCAGCAAGCAGAGCAGCATGAAGTTGCTGAGTTAGCACACTCTCTGGTTGATTATGTAGTTCTGGGGGAGCTTTCCTCTGTGTGGTTAGTTGAATATCTCTCTGGCATGTACAAGGCCTGAAATAAGAAAGATAAAACCCCTATGTTCTTTTCTCAAATCACACACTGTTTTGGTTTAGCTGCCTCAGAAAAGTTTTACTAGGATTTCATTTCTATCTGGATTCAGGATGTGTTTATGGCTTGTGCTTGAACAATAATAGTTAAATGAATCTCAGTCATTTCATCATGGATTTCAGTGACCTAAATGTAATTTCACAATCAGATCCCTCAACGTCTGTTACCATATTAAGAGAGCTTTAGAGAAGGGGAACCAGTGGCATGGGGGAACTTTCATAAGTGTCTGTCTTTACTTTCTTTAACTGGGATTAAGTGGCTTGCTGAAACTTCAGACTTGCCCCATACATTCAGAGCACTCTGACTGCACTCAGTCCTTCTTGTTCTTGATGCTGGAGTGGCATCAAGATTTCTATATTTAAATCAAGAGTGAGTTCACTTCTGGGAAAAACAAACAGAGCCTTCAAACTACAGTAGGGTGACTGACTGACTGTGATGCTCAGGTGTGCCGTTCCATCACCTTCAAGGGGAATAAAAGCTTGAAAGACACCAGTCATTTATCAGGAGGAAGCAAGAGACCCAATGTATGTCAGCATAAGGTAGAAGCCGGAAGTTGTGTTGGAGCCCGTGCTGTGGGTGCTGTGCACCCACCCCCCAAAATTATGGGTGTCCGGGCCCCCAAGGCCCCCTATAGTTGGCACCTGTGCTCCCCTCATTAGGTTTCCAGCAACTAGTAATCAGAAGCATTACCGCATCTGACTGTAGAAGTAGAGCAGGCATAGGCAAACTCGGCTCTCCAGATGTTTTGGGACCTACAGTTCCCATCATCCCTGACCACTGGTCCTGTTAGCTAGGGATCATGGGAGTTGTAGTCCCAAAACATCTGGAGGGCCAAGCTTGCCTGTGCCTGAAGTAGAGCATAGCCATTGTGGCTAGCCTTCTCCTTCATGAATTTGTCCAACCCTATTTTAAAGGCATTCAAGTTGGTTGCTATCACAGTGCCCCTCCCCCACGGTAGGGAGTGCCATACTTTAATTACTGTATGTATAAATAAATTTATTATTATTATTATTATTATTATTATTATTATATGTGCTGCATGGAGAAGTAGTTTTGTTTACATGTCCAAAATCATTCCTATGAGGAGATGTTGGCTATAGAGAGTGGTTGCTGTTGTTCCCTCTCATTTTACTAGCTCTTGGATCATGATGAAACTAATTGGTAATAGGTTCAAGACAGGCCCCCTCCCCCCAAAAAAAGGAAAAAAGGAAAAACTTGCACAACAGATAATTGACTTGCGAAATTCAATCACACAGGATGTGGCATTTGGTCATACACTTAATAGGTTTTCTTAGCGAGGGTTAGTTAAATTCATGAAGGATTGGTCTGTCCATTGTCATTAGATGTCATATGGAACCTCTCATGTCTGGATACAAGATATCTTTGATTACCAGATGTTTGTGGCAAACAGCAGAAAAGAGCCATCTCCTATTTTGCTCATCTGATGAGCTTCCCTTGCCCAATTTGACTCTCAAGGTGGCTCCAGAGTTAGAGAAAGAAGCCAGATTTGGTGGATCTTGGATCATGGAAAGCTGCCTTATACTGAGTCAGATCATTAATCTATCTATTTCAGTATTGTCTATACTGATTCACAGTGACTCTGCAGGGTTCTTGGAGCTGTAGTTTCTTAAGGGTGCTAATAGTTGTTAGACGACCCCTATTCCCCTGCGAGAGCTACAATTTCAGAATGGTTTAACAATCAATTCCTTTTCACAGAGAACTCTGGGAATCTTACTCAGAGTAGACCCACTGAAACAAATGATTCTAAGTTAGCCATGCCCATTTACTTCTAGGTCTACTCTGCATAGGACTTGCATTGGATACCACCCATGGAGTAATTAATTTGTACCAGTTTTTTTTATAAAAAAATAGGACAAGGTTAAATGATAAAGCATTTTTGCTAACCTGCAATTTTCTTTTTTTTATTTCCTTTTTCTTTTTAGATGGGTGGCATGGAAGCTGTCATCACCGGCTTAGCAGATGATTTCCACATCCTAAAAAGACACAGAAAACTTTTCACATTTGGGGTCTCCTTTGGCACCTTCCTCGTTGCTCTCTTTTGCATAACAAATGTAAGTGTCCCTTTGGGAAGTCTGTGCCTATTCTTGGGCAACAACTCAAGTGGATAGCTGCCAATCCTTCCATCAAATTTTGTGTCGGGGAGTTAAGTTGACGATTTGGCACAAAGGCCAGAAACTGCTGCCGACCCAATACATAGATGATAGAGAAAATCCTGTTATCTTATGCTCCAGTGAGAGATTCAAATTACAGAATTAAAAATTAGTAATGTATTTATTGCATTTATATCCCCCTCTCCCCCACTCCCGGAGTTCAAGTTGATGTTCTTTACTTATCATTCCCCATGACAGAACTGTTTCTTTTAAATCTTTCTCTTCCTACTTTTACTCTGCATGATTGGCCAATAGCCTCCAGGATGATAACACAATGGTCTGTCCATCACAGACACCAGGTTAGGAAAAAAAACTGGTCTGTATTGAGTCAGACTCTCCTAGGACTGAAATAGATTGGTTACATGGGTTGTCAAGCAAATTAGATCCCATCCAATCAGAGCTTTGAGTGTTCGAGTATTTCTGGGCTGCTTGTTTTATTGGATGCTTTCTTCTTGTTACTTAGGGTGGAATCTACATACTGACTCTGTTGGACACATTTGCTGCTGGGACATCCATCTTGTTTGCTGTTTTAATAGAAGCCATTGGCGTCTCCTGGTTTTATGGTGAGCCAGCGGTGGGGGAGGATTGTTCCAATTGTTTATGACCGCAACCAGTCAGAGTAAACTGCAGTGTTTCCCCCCAAAGTAATTGCTACAGTAACATCATAGTAGTTTAGAGAAAGGGAATGTAGATGAACAAGAATCAAAGAAGAAGAGACAAAGGGGCTATCTAGACCAGCATTCTTTTTCCACTGGGGCCAACCAAATTCCTATGAGAAGCCCAAAGCAGGGCATGAATGCTGTAGCCGTCTCCTGCAGATGAACCTCAGCAAGTATGTGCTGGGTGAAGAAGTCCTTCCTTTTGCCTGTCCTGAATCTCCCACCATTCAGCTTCATTGAATGGCTCGGGTTCCAGTATTACGGGGGGGGGGGGGGGGTCTACATCCTAATTAAAAACACATCTCATGAAAATTTGTCAGAAATTTAGTGAAGATTTCTCCTGATCATCATACTTTTTGTGCGCAGTTTTGACTAATGTGCATATTTCGCCCGCTGTTTTCCCTAACATAATGTGTTTCTGTATGTTGCTTTCAGTTGCTGATTTTTATGCACATTTCACCTCTGACATATGCATTTTGGAAAACGCTGTTTGATTGGAAAACTAAACTGAAAAATTCTAAGAAGTGCAAACTTCGAGAGACAGCTGTGTTTCAGTTCTCATACAGTTTTGAAAAGTGCATGTTAAGGAGGTTCACTATTAAATGCAAGCTGAATTGAATTTCTCCTCCATCCCTAGCTCTGGAATGTATGACATCAGGCTGCAGCTCATGGGATCAGTGTGACTGCCTATTGAACAAAAGTCTCCATTCCCATATACTAGAATATGCACGTGAAAGGCATGTTATGGCCTTTCTCCTCAACATCTAGTTTTCAATAGGCTGTTTTTTCATATGCATTTTATGTTATATACAAATCAATATAATATTGTGAGCCTCCCATCAGCCTTATGCAATAGTCCAGTCCAAACGGAGGTGTTTCTTTTTTCTTTGACGTCTTCATCTGCTGTCTATCAGACAGAGACCAAAACATCAGGTCAAAGACTCCCTTTATTTACACACTCAGCTCAGCTTTTTGAGATTAGTTGCAATTCAACATCAGAGAACAGAGCTTTGCCCTCTGATGCTTTCTGTATGTCAAATAGCCAAAGGACATAAACACAGACCAGTGGAGTAAATGAGACACAGAGAGATTAATTTCCCCCCTCTTTCCCACTGTGTAGACGATCATAACACTGCCAGCCAGCCAGATGTCTCTCCTCCTTCTCCTGCAAATGAAAATGAATGCGTTTAGATAACCTGGGCTTGAAAAGCTTGCTGAGGCTGTATTTATTATAACAGCTCTTTAGAGAGTTTACTAAACACAGCAGGGCAACCTGGGGGGAAATGGCTTTTTAATCATACATGCGCCTGCCAAGAGGTAAGAGCGAGGAAGCTTCTGACCGACTACTACCTTGAAGGCTGGGAGCACGGCGTTAATTATGCCCTCAATTACATTGTTCCCATCATGTTGTATAAATGCATGTGATTGCAGGGCAGCTCAAGCTCTGCTAGGACAGCGTTCCTTGGGGAGAGGGTTGGATAGTTAAACCGCAGTCAGTCCCTCTTCCCAAGAATCTCTGGGGATTGTAGCAAGCTGCAAGCAGAGTAAGGCTCTCCTGACAACTCTCAGTACCCTTAACAAACTACAGTCTCCAGGAGTATTTGGAGGAAGCCATGGCTGTTAAAGTGGAATCATATGCTTTAAATGTAATGTGCCTAAGACTGGATCCCTCTTTCTTTCTTTCTTTCTTTCTTTCTTTCTTTCTTTCTTTCGAGTGGGGAACCTAGTACCTTCGACAAGTTGTTGCATGACAATTCCCTTCAGTCCCAATGGTCAGAGATAGAAAGTTATAGAATCATAGTGTCTGAAGGGAGCCCGAGGATCATCTTGTCCAACCTCCTGCAATTCATGGGAGCAAAGATCCAACAACATCTGGAGGATTTCCTCTTCCCTATCCCTGTTTAAAAAGGTTTGCATCAGTGGAGGTGCTCCCTAGCCTAGTCTGAGCCACGAGACCCTTCCCCGCCTTTTTGCTAAATTTCTTTTCTTCATTGGTCTCTCAAAATTATCTCCCATTCTGTTGAAACAGGAGGTCCGGAACTGAGAACTCTCCACATTATTGCCGTCACGGAATTAAGTCCACCCCCACACCACCACCCTTCCTTTTTTCTCTGGTCATAGCCAGGTGTCTTCTTAAATGGTTTTCTTATGAACTTTCCTCCCTTTGTTCTTACCATTCCTTTCCCTCATCAAACGCCTCTGCCTGGTCACACACATTCTCATCTTTCAGTTCTTCTGCCAAAGACCTCCTAAGTGCTTTGGCAACTCCAAAAGCGCATTGAGGACACAATCATCCAAACAAGATGATGCGGGTTGTTGCATACTCCCTCACCCCTTTCCCCATCTGCATTAAAAGGCCTGTAACCAGGTTCATGGAACTAATTCTTCATGCACCATATCATTTCAAACTGTCCCTATAAAAAGCTTGACTTTAATCAACACCTTCCATAGAGATTGCATTTCTTCTTCATCTCTTTGACTCACTTGTTAATCCTCCAGATTCTTTCCTCTTTGATTCAGCTGTCTCCTCTTCAGTATAACGGACAACATAGCTTCAGTCCTCTCAAAGTTGAAACAAGGTCAACGTTTGTTGTGTGAAATTCATCCTATGCCTTCTGCTTTGCTGCTTATAAATGGGCCTCTACTCTCCCTGCATAAGTTTAAAGGCTGGGATGTGACTGAGGTTACGGCATATCTGTTGGAGTTTGCTGATCAAAGAATATGACATTAACAACATCCCTATCTTCTTTGGACTCAGAAGTTATTTACTCCTCCTGAACTCGGATTTACTGGCCTTTTAGAATAGCTTCCTTTTGGTTGAGGTTCATGTCATTGACTCTCTGCAATTAGCCAGACTCTGTTCATTTCTTAGAACTATTTCTTTCCTAATCACTACCATTCTTCCTTCTCTTGCTCATATCCCCTTCCCTTTGGAAGTTCTACACACAAAGGGCCCCAGGTTCAATTCCTGGTGTATCCAGGTCAGACTGGGAAAACCTCCTGCCTGAAACCTTGGAGAGCTGCTGCCTGCCAGTGTAAACAGTGCTGAGCTTGATGGACCAATGGTTTGACTCAGTATAGGCAGCTTCCTATGCTCCTATTCAAATTTACTGCTGCACATAGCTCAGTGGTAGAGCACACATTTTGTATTCTAAAGGTCTCAGGTTCAAGCCCTGGTATCTCGAGATAGCGCTGGGAGAGACCCCTGCCTGAAATCCTGAAAGGCCACTCCTTATCATATAGACAATAAAGGTAAAGGGACCCCTGACTATTAGGTCCAGTCATGACCGACTCTGGGGTTGCGGCGCTCATCTCGCTTTACTGGCCGAGGGAGCCGGCGTACAGCTTCCGGGTCATGTGGCCAGCATGTCTAAACCGCTTCTGGCGAACCAGAGCAGCACACTGAAATGCCGTTTACCTTCCCACCAGAGTGGTACCTATTTATCTACTTGCACTTTGACGTGCTTTCGAACTACTAGGTTGGCAGGAGCAGGGACTGAGCAACGGGAGCTCACCCCGTTGCGAAGATTTGAACTGCCGACCTTCTGATCGGCAAGTCCTAGGCTCTGTGGTTTAACCCACAGCGCCACCCGCATCCCTATCATATAGACAATTTTGTTGTTGTTGTTTAGCCGTTTAGTCGTCTCCGACTCTTTGTGACCCCATGGACCAGAGCACGTCAGGCACTTCTGTCTTCCACTGCCTCCCGAAGTTTGGTCATATAGACAATACACTGATCTAAATGGACCAGCTGTCTGACTCAGTGAATAAGGCATCTTCCTATGTTCCTGTGTTCAATGGAGTTTAAAAGATGTCTAGTAGAATAGACCAGTGGTCTGGCTGGGTAGAAGGCAGCTCCCTACATTAAACCAGGGTCATGACTCAGTGGTGAAGCATCTTCTATGCCTGCAGAGTTCAATTTCCAGGTGGTCTGCTGCCTAAAACTCTGAACAGTTACTACCAGTCAATGTAGACAGATATATGATCAGCTATAGAAGGTAGAAGGCTGATTCCCCCCTGTGGATCAGTATGAGGGGAGACTTTCAAGTCAACTGTTTCAGGAAGCTAAGAGATGATTTTTGTTGTTGACACATTGCTCTGTAAAACATAATTTATTATGGTTTTAGGGAATGTTAAAATTGATCATTGGTTAAATCTGGCATGGCTCTGCCCACCTACTATCTTCGGAGTTGATCTCTCTCTCTCTCTCTCTCTCTCTCTCTCACACACACACACACACACACACACACCAGCCATCCCCTTCTTTCAATGCCCAGTTGCTTTATTGACCAGCAGAAAACTCTGTTTAGCTGAAAGGTGCACTTGACATTTTAGCACCAGCCAAAGGAAGTTTTTCTGAAATGTTTTGATGGCAGCTTAAGCTATACCTGTGTCAGTTTATGTGGGGAAGGAATGACTGCATGTAAGAGTTTTTACAAAGAATGATTCCAAATAAGAATTTGTTATTACATGGATAAACTGTGGTGTTTACAAATTGAGTGGATATTCTTATATGTTTGACTGTCATTTTGGGCTACAAAGGGATTTTAGGGAGGGGCAAAATGTGCACATGTTTCCTTCTGGTTCTCTGGCATTATTTTCCCTCTTCCCTGCTTTAGTTCCATTTTCCTAGGCTGGCTTCTTCCTGAAAAAGAGGCACATGGGAGAACCCAGATACCATGGACAACTTTAGGGGTTAGACTAGATGACCCTGGGGGTCCCTTCCAACTCTCCAATTCTATGATTCTAACATTAGGAACTTGGTGCTGTTATGGTGCTGCATTGCAGATGTTGCTGCTTGATGCCTTTCCCTTTTTGGAGAACTCCTAGAAAATCATAAAAAGAAGTGCCTTTTTTGCCATTGCAAAATGGAAAAATGTGCCCATTTCAGCAGAACCCTAACTAGATTTGCTAATTAACATTGTAAATAATGGTACTTTGTTTTTAAAAACCCTCATACTAACAGATGTTAGGAAAAGTTTTGTAGAATTAAGGGACTTTGCTTACAACAATTGAGCTGAATTAGGGTTTTAGAGAGGACAAACCTTTGCTGTGATTTGCTACTTGACAGCATTCCAAATGTATGAAACCTTACCAGAGCTTAGTCCCTCCCCCTCCCCCCGAGTTCCTGGGACTTACTCCCAAATAAGCACACACAGGAACTGCAGCAAATTGCTTAAATCTCATTGGATTCAGTGACTTCAAGATGACAGTCATTTGGCCATCATTTCATACAGCACCATCCTTTTGATGATGCCACAGAACATGAGTCATATTTGAACAGCTTATCAGCTTTAAGTGGTATGGCAAGCAAGTAGTGTGAACATCAAGCATTGCAGTGGCTGTTGTTGTCAAATGTATCCATGCGCTGTCTGCTTCTGTCTTATATTTGTGGTCAACCTTCAGGTGTGGACAGGTTCAGTGAAGACATCCAGCAAATGATGGGCTTCAAACCAGGCCTCTACTGGAGACTTTGTTGGAAATTCGTGAGCCCTGCTTTTTTATTGGTAAGCCTTTCAGATGTTTTAATAGGAATTATAGAGCATGTGAATCTATGGAAGGCATAGCCAAAGCGGTGCCTTTCCGCATGATGTTGGGCTTCAGCTCCCATCAGCCTTATCTGACATGACCAATGGTGACAGAAGCTATAGTCCAGTAGCAACGTATGAAGGGAACCACATTGACTACTCCTGTGACATGGTTTGCTCCCCTGCCTCTTCTGGTATAGATCAAAAATGTGGGTCCTGGCCCAGACATGTTCATGTATAAGAAACCTACAGTCAGGTAGAGTAGGGATGAGCATGCTAGCTTCCATGAACTGGAGGGTGACCGTATAAAATGGGGAGCCTTTGCTGTTCATACAGACTTCCTGTGTGGTGTAGTACCCTAGAAAATACCGTATTTTTCCATGTATAAGACTAGGAATGTAAAGCACCATAGGGAAAAAAAATAAGCATTAATATTAATCATAGAATTGTAAAGTTGGAAGGCACACCAAGAGTCATCTAGAGCAACCCTCTGTGATACAGGAATCACAGCTAATAACTGGCTAATTAAGAAAGTTTAAGCAGCTGCAAAGGCCAAACAGCATAAAAAATAGTGTTCAAAAGATGCCTGAAAGTCAAAAGCAAGATGCCTGCTGCATCTCTGCTGCAATATTATTTCAAAGCAAGGGACCAGCGATACTAAAAGCCCAACTTCTCATTGAAGCTAGTCAGGGCTCTGTAATATTGGAGACAGCTAACTGTGCTCCTCTGGATGATCTCAGTGATCAGGCTGGGATGTAAGAGCTCAGGCATCCTGGACCCAAGCTGTTTAGGGCTTTGTATAGTAATACAAGAGCTCTAAACCTTCCCTGGTAGCATCAAACAGACAGTGCAGATGTTTTATTAGAGAGGGGGGTCACATGCTGTCGGTTGCCTGCACCCACCAGCCATCTGCAATATCAAAAACCTTCTTCTACGTTTGAATCTCCCTTGACCTTGGACACCTTCAACTTGAAATTACTCTGCACAGTTCTACTGAAAGGAGTGGGGCTTCAGAACAGCACGTGTTAATGGGTTTTGTACAAGAAATAGATTGTTCTATAGGTGCAGGAACATGAAGATTAATGGGAAAGAGTGATCAGTAACTGGACTGTTGTTGAATGGAAGTTTCACAGTTTTGCTTGTGGGTCTGGTTTTGTTGTTTTATTTTCAGTCTTCAGCTGCTGCAAAGGTGCTGGTGGCGGGAAATAGAATCTGAAAATGAGATATTTGTTTATTAATTTTAAAAGGGGGGGAAACAGTAAGCCGTTTGGCGTCATTTAAAATTTTCAACACATGGAAGATGTTTCTGCTTGGAACACTCACAACCCACTTTTGTTAACATTTCCCTTTTTAATTTCCCACTCAAAATCTGAAGATCCCCCACTCCACTAATTCTAATCATGGCACTCTGTATAAGACCATTAAGTGCATCTTTTTCAAATGAAATATAAATAAATAACAGATGTGTCCCACCTTTCTGGGCTCTTTGCTCTCATAAGATTTGAAGAAGATGAAAACACACATACTATCTAATTGTAGAGATGAGCAGCAGATGGTTTCTTTTTTCTTTTTAATTGGAAACAAAAAAAAGAGCAGATCATTCCAAAACGTCTTTAATTTTTTTATTCCAGATGTCAAGTGAAGTGAGTGTGAATGTAGTAAATATATATATTAAGAATAAATGTTCTTTCAAATGCTAGTGGCGGGAGAATTGCAACCTGATGTGGAAAAGGGGTGGGGGAGGGAGACTGGAAAAATGAGGGAAACTGAAATTGAGAAATTTGTCTATTTCTAGTCCATAGTAGCTTCCTGGAAGCAAATCTCTTGCTTTAGTGTAAAGATGGAGTTGGGTAAGTTTAGGCTGGAGAAGAGAAGCCTGAGAGGTAATATGAAAACCATCTTCAAATATCTGAAGGGCTGTCACATGAAAGATGGAACAAGTTTGTTTTCTGCTGCTCCAGAGGGTAGGACTGTTGGTACAGGAAGTATTGGTTTAAAGTGTAGAGATCTTTCCTATTCTAATTAATTCAAGGTTCTAGAAGCTTCTCTGTATGAGACAAGCTGGTGCAAACTGGAAGTTTCTAGCTAACAATCAAGCTTCTATCCTGTCTGGAAACAAGCAGAAGGTTCCTGATGTTTGGGTTATTCCTTCAGAGAAGCTGAACAGCTGGTTTCACTTTCTGTCTCTCTTTCCTTCTGGTGTGGTGGTCTGTATATAGTGTTAAGGTTTTAGTCTTATTTTAAGTTTAAGTTAAGTCTGCTGCAACTTGACTTCTTATGGACTGTGATAATCCTGAAGACTTGGATTTGTGACCGTTATGTTCATTTGCCTTCAGTAGTAAAAACTCTGCTGGATGAAGTTGATTGCCTATGGTTTATTTTTTGGGAACCCTGCACTGTGTTTTTTTACTCTGCTAACTATACATTGGAGTCTGCTCTGGATCAATATGGAGCAGAATCATGACAAGGACCTGAACCAATGGGTTCAAATGACAGGAAAGAAGATTCTAGCTAAACATTAGGAATAACTTTCTGATGGTAAAAGCTGTTCAACAGTGGAATGGACCACCTCAGAAAGTGGTGGGTTGGCCTTCACTGGAGGTTTTTAAACAGAGGTTTAATGGCCATCTGTCAAGGACTCTTTAGCTGTGACTCCTGCTTTGCAGTGTGTTGGACTAGGTGAGGATACCTTCCAACTTTATGATTCTATTGTTCAACATCCAGCTTTTACTGGGTTATGGCAGTGGTGTTTTTGTTTGCTTGCTTGTTTTCTGTTCCAAAGATGGCATGCTACCAGCAAAGACTATAAACTCACGCTGAAGCCTCTTCTCCGACATCTAATGCCTTTAACTTGATGTTTGAGCGACAAGCTTAATAGCTAACATTATAGGCAAATCAAAACCCTTTCGGGCTTTTCTTCTGTGACAAGATTTAACTTGACACTCAATATTAAACAATGAGGTGCATCGGGTCTTGTCCCGTTTCTGAGGTTGCCATTTGCACTCGTGCTGTTAATTTTGATAGCTGAGAATGCCACAATCGACAAGCGCATGGTGAGGCTAGACAGCAGAAGCAATTGGAATTTGGGGATGAGAGAAGACACTGAGTTTTTGGATTGTGATACAGACAAGTAGGCTCCCGCTACAAAATTGGTGTGCCTAGGCCAGGGGACATTCAAATCTCTTCCTTCTCAGGTAGAAGACTGTTCGGGGCAAGTCAATGAGTAGGCACCTTCGCACATCAATATGGTGTAGTGGTTAGAGTGTCAGACCAACAGCTTGGGGACCAGGGTTCAAATCTCTGCTCAGCCATGAAGTTCACTGGGTCCCCTTGGGCCAGTCACTGCCTCCTCTCAGTCTAATCTATTGCACAGAGTGGTTGTGAGGATAAAATGGGGAAGAGAACCATTTACAGTACACCACCTTGAGTGCTGAGGGGCGAGGTATATGGATGTATTAAATATATAAAATAAAGATCTGTACACCCCTTTGTCCACCCTCCCTTTCCAGCCACTTTGTTCCACTCCTCCCCTTCACTGGGTTTGACACTGGTCTTTTCTTACATATTTCACTTTCCTGTCCTTAAAACCGAGCATGTGTATATACTGTTCCTCTGTAGATGAGGTAAAGCCCAGCTGCGAGTCAATTGTAAAGTCAATTCTCTAAGGTGATTCTATCATATTACTTTTCAAGTAGAAGCATTTATAGGAAGTTTGATAAGTCGTTTGGTGACGTAAGTGCCAAAAATTATTGTGTGGTCACTAATACAATTGCAGATAAATATTGTATGGTTATTTTACACTAAACCAGTCATCTTCAAATTACAAAATAAGCTTCAGATTTTTACAGCAGCCTTTGCTAATTTTGTGTCCACAGATCTTCTTGGATGACAACTCTCATCCTCTCCACCCAGCAGAGCCAATGGACAAGTGAGGACAGGAGTTGTCATCCAATAAGATCTGGGAATCCAAGGTTGGGGAAGGATCCAGAGGATGGAGGTAACCATAAAGGCCACCTCCTTCCCTGCAGACTCTCCTGGGTGTTGAGAATGGCAGAGAAGGCCCTCTTGGTTGTTCCATCGCACTCAGAAGCATGGGTGGCGGAGGCCTGGAAGAGGGCATTCTCTGTGGAAGCCCCAAAGTGGTGGGACTCCTTCCCCACAGAGGTGTGTCTGACACCTTCATTACACAGCTTTCATCATATACTGAAGATACACCACTTTAGCCTGGCTTTTGATATTTGAGAAATATCTTAGGACCCACCTTATTTCTGTGCTTGTAAATTCTTCTAAAATGTTTTTAACATTGTGCTTTAATTGTTTTAAGCTGCCCTGGGACCTTAGGGTCAAGAGTGGCTTGTTGTTGTTGTTGTTGTTGTTGTTGTTGTTGTGAGGAGACACCTGAAGAGTCTCCTTTGTTTCATCTTGGAATAAACATATGGTTCAAAGGAAATTGATCATAACCTTCTCCTCTTATTTCCCACAGTTTGTGGTAATAGCCAGCATAGTCACTTTTAAACCTCTGACCTACGATGAGTACGTCTTCCCACCCTGGGCCAACTCTGTCGGATGGGGAATAGCATTGTCATCAATGATCCTTGTGCCTGCATATGCCCTCTATAAATTATTGAAGGCGCGAGGGACCTTTAAACAAGTGAGTGGCCAAGCAGTGAAATGTCATGGAAATGTTCTTTGTGAAATGAAAATCGCCAGTATTAAGCTAAGAGTTTGCTTTCTTTAATTCCACAAACACTTTTGCAGATAGGTGACCTTTCGGAAGCAGCTTTTAAGTAATTTGCCATTTCAAGAAGGGATTTAGGACTCTTTTTCTACTTCCTGTTCTGGAAGTTTGGAAGCTAAAACACCCCAGGACCTGACCTATTAAAGGACAAACTAGGCATGAGAGCCATCATCTCGTTTTCTAGCACGATGATAGCCAATTTGGTGCCCTGCAGGTGCTGTTGGACTCCATTTCCCATCAGCCCCGGTCAGTGTAGCCAATAGGCAAGGATGATGTGAGTTGCAGTCTAGAGGGCACCCTGTTGGCTCTGCTAGCAACTTGTTCTTAACTTCAAAACATCTGCAGAGATAAGATTAAGGAGTGGAATTGGTTGATCATTTCTTTTATGCCATTTCTATTATTTGAAATTCGCTCCTTGAATGTGCCGGGACTAATAGAAGCTTCAGACTGGGAGGGATGTGATTCCAATCAGAAAAAAACAGTGTTGGGGAGAACCATTAACACCCCACACCCCCAAGTGCATCCCTGAGTGACTGTTTTGGCATTAAGTGGTATATCAGTGAATAAAACGTGATAATAATGTATAGAAGCAAAATATAATGGGGAAGCTTTTAAGATACACTTCCTTGCCTTGGATGTGAAAATAAATTCTATTACACAAAATGAGTTACAGGAAATTCTTCCACACACCAGATGTGAAAATAAATAAGGGAAACCCTTCTCTGCAGTTTTTTCACACTTAAGTTGTTAATGGAGGCGAATCACTTGCAAAGTAATGGGAATGTGGCTTGAGCAAAAGAGGTCAAGACAGAGGTCAAGGCTGGGACAGACGCAGTGACAGTGACACTCCTTTTCCAAATTTAAATCCCAACTGTTATTTCAAAACTCTCTCTGTAGACCAGTGATGGCAAAGGGTTCTAGTTGAGTGGTAGAGCATCTGCCTTGCATGCAGGCTCCTCCAGGTTCAGTCCCCATCATCTTCAGGTAAGGATGGAGGGAAGCCCTATCTGAAACTCTGCAGGGCCACTGGCAGTCAGTGTTGACAATTCTGAGCTAGATGGACCAACTGTCTGACTCGGTATAAAGCAGCTTTCTATGTTCCTAACCTGTGGCTCTCCTGACATTGTTGGACTACAACTCCCATCGCCCTGACCTGACCATGCTGGCAAAGTCTGATGAGAGTTGCAGTCCAACAACATTGGGGGGGGGGCACAGGTTAACCAGCACTGGTATAAGGATACAGAACCCAAAAGTTATCATATTTGGTTTATCTATACTTTCAAAAAGAGGGCCTTGGTTTCTTTGGTGAAAAAATGTCTCCCATTATTCTGCTTTGCAATTGCACTGTGCTCGCTTCCCAATTACCATCCCTAAACTGTGCAGAATTAAGTTTTGTGATCATATTAATTTTCCTGTCACTGCCATGGGAAAGCCTTCTCAGTGCTGTCATGTTCACTTTAGATGTGCTTCAGCCTTTCAGTAAGAAAGCATGAAGGCACAATTTTCCCTCTCTTGCTTTTCACTTCCCAGCATCTTCTATTGCAAAGCTGGTTCAAAGAAGGTTATGTTATTTGCCACTAAGCTTTCTGTGTCCCACTCCTGCCTTTTGTTTAAGGTGCTGTGGTGTCACAGAATCCTCACATGCAGCCAAAGATGTCTGTGTAACTTGTGATGTGTTTACTCCCGCACTAACTAAAGTGTGTTTTTATTACTAAAAATAAAAATAGAAGTCAAGAGCTTTATTCCGTCATCAATATGCAAGTATAATTTTCCTTAAAGTGATTCTTCTCCTCTGCCTGTGCTCCTTTGTAGAGACTAGCATATTGCATCACACCTGAGAATGAACACCATCTTGTAGCAGAAGGGAATGTGCGGCAGTATAAGGTTTGTATTCTTCTCTGAACTTTATTCATTTATTTATTTATAAATGTCCATTCCTTGAAAAGATGTAGAGTGGTACCTCGGGTTACATATGCTTCAGGTTACATACGCTTCAGGTTACACACTCCACTAACCCAGAAATAGTGCTTCAGGATAAGAACAGAAATCGGGCTCCAGCGGTGCGGCAGCAGAAGGAGGCCCCGTTAGCTAAAGTGGTGCTTCAGGTTAAGAACAGTTTCAGGTTAAGAACGGACCTCCAGAACGAATTAAGTACTTAACCTGAGCTATCACTGTACAGGGTAATAATGTACATCAAACAGGAATATATGAATCACAAACGTGTATATGTGTACAGGTAGACAGATGGGTTTAAGAATATATATACACATGCCAAACTGATATTTTGATTCTGAGCCATTGTATAAAAGTTTTATTAGAAAGAAAGCCCCTTGGATTTATGTAGAGCAGGGTAGCCAATGTGGTCGCTTCCAGCTGTTGGAGGACTACAACTCCCATCATCCCTATCATAGGCCATGCTTCCTGGGACTGATGGGAGTAGGTGTCCCACAACATTTGGACGTCCTGATATAGTGGGATCCATGTCATTCTTGCAAAGAGCAGTTTGGACCTTTTTGCTGAGAAGCTTTCCAAACCCAAAGAAATTTGTAGTTCAGAGGCTGTACTTACTGATTTTATATTTATTGCTCACTAGCCTTCTCTTCAGGATTTAGCCTCATGAAGTGTTCAGGGGAGGGAGGTTTTCATTATTGTTTTTGCTAGAATTTAGCAATACAATTAGCAACATCACCATAGTATTCAGACAAATCTTTTCTTCTTCTTTTTCCCCTTGCAGTTCCAGCATTGGCTATCTATATGATGATTAAGAAAAGGAAAGCCAGTACATTACAAAGATAAATTGGGAACACCTGTGAAGTCAGTGACAAAGCTCTCAATCATGCTTGGCCCTGGCAGGCTGGCACACTCCGAAGAGTATCTCCAGCTTTCTTTGGGCAAAGATTCATCATTCACACCCTGTCACACAATCATTCAGTTTGTCAAATGAACTTCCCAGACCATTCATTGGTTTTTGTTTAAGGTTTACAGGGTGGGTGGGGATTAACATATAAGTTCTCAGTGTGCTGATCTTGATCCTGACCAAAGGAGTCATCTTTGCTAATGACTGAAGCAAAAATTGGGGAGGGGGAGGGAGATAAAAATCAGTGTTCAGCTAAAGGTTGTCTTATCTGGGGGCAGAAAGATCAACAACATATTTCAAATGCTTGTTTCAAAGGGAGAAAATAGGAAGGTGCCTTATACCAAGTCAGATCATTGATCCATCTAGCTCAATAGGGTTTCAGATAGGAGATATTCCCAACCCTACCTGGAGACTCCATGGATTGAACCTGGGACCTTTGCATGCAAAGCAGGTGTCCTGCCCCTGAGCCTCTGCCTTCTCCCTTTAAAGTATGTCTGGCATTGGTCTGACTAGACAAAATTCTAGTCTCTGAAACGGGTATGTCCATCTGCAAATCAACATTTGATTGTGAAATCATAGACCCCAGTCCCACTGTCAAATTGCTCTTAGCATCAAGATTTCTCCCCCTCCCATGTTAGGTCAAGTGGGTGACTTGCTTAGGTAGTACTTTGGAACACTCCCTTGTCATTTCTGGTGTGATACTTTTCTAAACAAAAGTGGTTGTCTTAGTTGCACATATCTGCCTTTCCTGGAAAGTGGCCAGAGTTGGAATTAGGTTCCAAGCTCTTGAGGCCAAATGGCAGAGAATCTTTGTGTGTGTGTGTGTGTGTGTGTGTGTGTGTGTCTCACTGGGCAAAATCATTCCCTAGTAGTTCCTGTGTTTTCTACACAAGTGGAAGTGGAGGACCAGAGAGAGAGAGAGAGAGAGAAGTAGTCAAATACTCTTGCTATGCTTTGTTTATACTTTGTGCTTTAAATACACACACACACACACACACACACACACACACACCAAATTCATTATGCTCACACACACATAAAATAAAAAGCACCACCAGCTGGCTGCATGTCAGATGTGGATATGATGGCTCCTCTGAATGGGTTGACCTATTCCACAAACCATCTTGTCAGTCCTTTATAACTGAAACATGTAGGTGCTCCTTGCTGATATACCATGATCTATCTAAATTCTAATGATCTTCTGCAAAAGCTAGAAAGACAAAATTTGTTTAGTAATTTTTTTTGGAGGGGTGATAATCTAAAACACCAGTTTTTAAGAATGGATAAATTCAATAGCTTTTAGGGGTTTTAATGTATATTGTATAGGGAGCCCCCCAAAACCTGGTGACTAGAATGTTGGAATTGATGAACGTAGTAATCCCAAGGTCATTTGGACAAATCATTGGCTTAGTTCTCACTAAGATGCTAAAGCTGTGCATGGGCTCTACCAATTTAGGCCTTTGTTTGGGGGTTCACATGATGTAATGTTCCACCATACCACCCCCAGCCAAATTTCTAAACAAGGTGCTTATCAACCTTTCTCAGCCCAAGAACTACATTCTCTCATGGACAACCTTCCAGGAACCACATACCACGGGCACGCAGCAACCCGAGGATAGAATGAGTGGAGCAATGCAATTGGCTCTTACTTTTAGCACAGTAGGCTACAGTCAAGCTACATATATAATATTTTCAGAAAGGCAGCCAGCCCCTCACAACACACATTTCTCCATCCAGGAAAGCAAAAGGCATGCCCACGTCAGGGACACATTCCAGCCAAGGGAGATATGGAGCAGGGTAAGTGTAGCTTGGGGAGAAGGTGGTATAGAAGGACAATGCCCGGGGAAAGTCCAGTAGCTTTGAAGTTCCAACCGACAGAGCCTTTCTCAAGCCTTCCTGCCTACGACCACTTCCTGACCCCCGCTTTCTCCCTCTTTCTCCTCCTTGCTACCAACAACAGATCTTAACTATCAGCATTCTACCTCAGAAAGTTCCTTCTCCTCCACCTCTCCAGCCTCATTTCAAGTAGGGTGTGTACACACTCATTTTCTCCTCCACCACCCATAATAAGTGAAGCCAGGCTTTCAGAAGTTATTTGCCACAGAGGAGGGGAAAATGTTGCCCTTATGTGGGGCTCTGGGAGCAGTTTTTGCTCCACTGCATACTCTTCTACACATCTGCCCAGCACATTGATTTCATTTCAAGAAGTCCAATAGCAAGAAGTCCATCTGACCCCAGTGTGCCTTAACATCATGATGTGCTGTTTAGCATTAGCATGACATCCACACCAAATCAGACTGTTGTGCAATTAATGCACCTCAAACACTTTGAGTGTAGATGATTTATGATGTAAAGTAACCCAGACAATACAAATCTCCATTCTTCACTTTTCTATACATTGCTTTCATTGTCCTCTCTTTTCATCTAACATCCCCTTGAGAGTAAGTGCTTTAGATCTGAGGAACCATCAAACCTTCTAAATGATTGTTTCAATACACAGTTGTTATATTAGTGTTGTGCATGAAGGGCAATTTGGAACTGGATAGAAATAAGGAACCTAAGAAAACCAAGTCATCCAGCTTAGTATTAAACAAACCTCATCCACATGGCCAAGTGCCAACGTTGTGTCTCCCTCTAGCAACACTGGGGAGGGAGGGAGACCAGCTACACTGTTGAGGACATGGAACAGAAGCTTATGGTAGAGAAGACCCAAATATGCTCAGTTTGGGTCTTTCCAAAGCCATGTGCAAATCCCAGTGTCGGACCGATATTCATTTGAATGGAAGAAGCAGAGGCACTTTTGACAGGGAGCACCTTCCAAGACCCACCTGTTCTGTTTTGTTTTCCATCTTTAAGATGGATTCTAGGCAATAATTTAATTCTGAGTGTTTCAGCAAGCAGAAGACCAATAACTTTATGACTCTGTGATCACAAATTGAAGTCAACATGAGTCTACACAAAGTCAACAGCTTCCCCTTTTGGACTCGATATTTAATTCATTGAAGGAGTATCAGAAATAGCATTTGAAAACCATAGCAGAGGATTATGCCTTTGTGTTACCTCAAATCATCTTCACAGATCTTGGTGTCGCACCCAAATGAATCTCTGGAAGAGTGTGCAGTGCTGGTGAGGGGAGCCTGGCTGTTGTTGAGACTCACCTGCTGCCAGACTTTTATGTACCTGTGGATCAGCCTTTCAAAATTATAAATGATCTGCTTCCATATATCTGTATAATGTACCTGATAGCCGGGATCCAAAGGGTTGTTTTAGCCAGGCCCGGTGGGATTTTTTACTCACTTTACTTTGAATAGCAGGAATGAGTTCCACATCAAATTTTCATAAGGGTAAATTTTCACTGTGAAAGTTGTCATCTCAGGGTGAGACGGAGAGGGTCACCTTCTGCAACTTGCAGTATTCTGTATTTTTTTCTTCTTCATGCTGGTTGGCAGCTTGTTGACTTGCAAAGAGGTGTAGCAGCACACACATAGCAATACACACACACATACATTCAACAAAAAGAGTTCCCAACTTGTTTTGGCTCAGCACTAGCAAACATCTATACTCATGAATTATATCCAACTAAATTCTGCTCAGAGTAAATCCATTGAGACTGATAGACCTATGTTAGTCCTGTATGTTAATTTCAATGTGTCTAAACTGAGCAGAACGAACATTAGATACAAATGCTAATGATCACCTGCCTTGAAGCTCTCTACAGTTTCAGAAATGGTCATGGATTAACAGAGGTGAAGAGAAGTAAAAAAAAGCCCCTTAAATGTGCATACCTAATTGTGTCACCCTTTGGATCCTGGCTCCTATGATCTTTTCTCAATCATGCACTTCATTCTATTAAAGCAGGAACCTTTTCCCAAATATTGCGCAAGTATCTTACACCATATAGTCTTTTCAAGTTTGCCTTACTGAGAAGAGCTTTATAGTTAGCATTTACTTGGTTGCTTTCCCCCTCTCCTTTTGCTTAATTTGTAATGCCTTTTTATAGCAAAAGGTTCAATAAGGGTACCTCTGTGTATATCAATATTTTTATCAGTTTTTTTTATTATTTTTTCATAAAATGAAAACAAATGTATATTGTAAAATGAAATGTTTTATGCTTTTTATGTGGGAAGCTCCCATCAAACCCAATCTGATTAGCCAATCTAGTTAGATCTGGGCTAGCAGGATGGGTTCGCCTTTTTTGATTCACAGTGTAACGTGATAGAAGGAGAATAAAGCATTGGCATCAACAGTGTTGTGATCTGCAGTGCAATATTCTCCAAAGCTGCCTTAATCTGATAGAGGAAGTCATGTGTATTTGTAGTCTATATTCTCCAGAAACCAGAGAGTATTTTTTTGTGTGTTTATTGGGAAAAAACCTATATGTAACCAAAATTGGAAGTGAGAATGGAAAACCCAACCCATTGCTTTGATCTAGCTTTCCATGTATAATCTGCACGCACAAAACACTTAGGCTCAGGTTCCCATTAACTGAGCTGCCAGTGCCCCAAAATGAATGTGCGTCCTTATAGATCATCTCCCTTAATGGAAATGATGGGGGGGGGAGCCATTCTAGGTAATCTTGTGTATTCATTAAAAAGCACCCGCTTCGCTACTATAATGGACAGAGCACAGGGCTTGGAGCTAGCAATGACTAAGGTCCAGATCTCTTCTCAAAGCAAACTTGGTGGCCTTGGGCAAGACTCTTGTCTCTCAGGCCACAGGGTTGTTGTGAAAATCAAAGGTGACCCCCCCCACACACCAACATCTAAAGTGTCCCACAAACCCTTTGGAGAAATGGTGGAAGACAAATGTGAGTAACAGACTCATCCATCACTGGATTGGGGCCAGTTTGTTATTGAGACTCAGTGGAACCTGAAAGATCTCCAGGGACATCTTTGGATTCTTCTGGTACATTAATTAAAGATGAATGAGAGCTCAATCATCCCCAAAGGCGTCAATCTCAACAGAGTACTTGATATCACGAGAAGGTGTGTACAACTGCCCAGGCAAGTCCTGGAAGATTCACAGCTCTTTCCATTGACTTCAGCCCTCTGTAGGTGCAGTCAGCAACAGTTTTAACACAGCCCTGTTATTACTTTAGGCAACTGAAAAGCTCATCTTATTATATTCCTTTCCCACTACCTGCCCCCCATGAGAGTAGGGACAAAGCTGCATCCCTTGGTATGGAACCTGGAATAGTCACGTCCCCTATAATTATGGACTTAAGTGTGATGTATGCACTGGTTGACTATATTCAAGATGTGGGTCAAGTTGTTGAGTGTGAAATATTTGTCCTTTTTTTTAATGTCCTCCTATGGGTCACTGTAAATAAGAGTCAGTGTTTTTGTTTTTTTGTTTTTTTTAAAAAAGCTGTGCACTGTAAATGTTAGGGGATTCTTCAGATATTGTGTTATAAAGTCTTATTTAAGTTGACATAGAAATATGCACTAAAATGAAGTATATACAATAAAGAGTATCTTCTGTACCAATAAAACTGTTTTGCAAGGTGTTGTATTTTACAAAATAGAGGTTGTGAAGTTCTTGAAGGCATCAGTGAGGTTAGATTACTGCAATGCGTTACACGTAGGATTGCCTCTGAAGATGGTTCAGAAACTTCAGCTAGTGCAGAATTCAGCAGCCAGGTTGCTCACCTGGGTAAGACAGTTTGAGCATATTACACCTATCCTGGTCAAACTGTACTGGCTACCAATTAGTTTCTGGGCCCAATTCAAAGTGCTGGTTTTGACCTATAAAGCTTTAAATGGCTCAGGACCACAATACCTCAATGACCACCTCTTTCCATATGAAACTACCCAGAACCTAAGATCATCTTCTGAGGCCCTTCTTGGTGTGCCTCCTCCATGAGAGGTCCAGAGGGTGGCAGGTCTGCAGTGACTCCCCATTTGTGGAATGCTGATCCCAGGGAGGTTTGCTGGGTGCCTTCATTAAACACCTTCAGGCGCCAGGCAAAAACATTCCTTTTTAACCAGGCCTTTGGTTGATTGACATCTAATGCCCTTTCAAAATGTGTTGGGGGAGGATTTGGGTTTTTTTAAAAATCTTGATTATGTATTTTGTGTTTTTATATTGTGGGTTGATGGGAACTGTCATCCAGAACATCTGGAGGGCACCAAGTTGGCTACCCCTGAGGTAGGTCTTTAGTCAGAACCAGCAGAGTTCTTCTTATGCTCTTTCAAAGGCAATTCCTGTGCTCTTAAGAGGACATACTCGGGGTCATTTAATTTAGCTTTGCCTGATAGGGTTGCTATGCACCTCCAATTTCCTGGACATACCCAGAATACTGTATCCAAAAGCAGTATTTAGGCACAAATCAGACTCAAGCTTCATAATTCATTGGCTGGGAATATGAATCTCGGTTACCCAGAAAGCTCACTTGGAATACAGGGTGGTTTAAAAGAAATTAAAACCCATTAAAACTCAATTAAAATTGCACTATCTGTGGAGCTCTGGAGCCAGCTGCCTGACCAGTTGCCATGTTAACCAGAAGTCCCAGTTCGGAATACAGGGTGAGCATTGTAACTCCCTGCAAGTTCATCTCCGACTTGGGCTTTAATCCAAACTAGAGAGAAATTCATTGCACAATTGCTTACCTGTGCTCCAACTTCCCACCCTCTACTTCTGAATTGCCAGCACACACTCCCCTTCCCAACAACCTGCTTAAATTACAGTGATTCTGACTGGTATGGGGTTAAAAAGGGAGTGGGTATGCCTCTCTGCCCACTCCCATCTCCATTGCTACTACAGCAGCACTCCAGGCACCAGGAGAACTGGGTGATTGCAATTTCCCCAGTGCTCCCAAAATGTGTCTGGGTTGCTGGGAAAGCTAAATTTCCCATGCATTCTGGTGTGAAGTCCGCTGCATTGCCAGTGCCAGGCTTTCTTCCACTGGAGCTTCAACAGAAGTGAGTAAGTGAACATGAGTATGGCAGGCTCAGAAGTGAGCAAACAGTGTTCATGGAGTAAGTGGGAGAGGAACCAGGCTGTATTACCAGCTTCACACACAGTATTTCAGAATAAGCCAAGCTATTGCCTGATCCATCTACATAGTTTTACATCGGATAAAGCTTACACACACGACATACATTTAAAGCACTTTTATAGCAGTGCAACAATCATGCCTCCCCCCCTTAATAATCCTGGGAACTGTAGTTTGTTAAGGGTACTTAGAGTTGTTAGCAGACCCTCTCACAGACCTACAATTCCCAGCACTCTTGGCCAACTACAGTTCCCAGGATTCTTTGAAGGAAGCCACAACTGTTAAAGGGGTATAAGGGTGCTACAAATGTATTGTGTAGTGCAGTGATGGCCAAACTTGTCCCCCCAGCTGTTTTGGGACTACAATTCCCATCATCCCTGACCACTGGTCCTGTTAGCTAGGGATGATGGGAGTTGTAGTCCCAAAACAGCTGGAGGGCCAAGTTTGGCCATAACTGGTGTAGTGTGACCAAAGGAAGCTAACCTGCATGAGTCTTTGGATATTATGTACACACACCATTAGTCTTCACTTTAGAGAGACTAAGGCAGCACAATCCAAAGCACATTTATTTGGCAGTAAATTCCACTGGGGTCAGGAGGATTTATTTCTGGGCAAAGATGCTTAAGACTCATTACACTTCAAGTATAGCTTTTAATGTCTTTAATTGCTCTCCTTAAGAACTGGAGAGAATGAGAGCAGAATGAAATAAATGCTCTGGTTCATGGAGGATGACGACGAAAATATGGCGAGTACCACTGTCGCCACAATAACCATGGATTAATTCCAAACATCTGATCCGATGACACTGAATTATGTTGAAGGGAGGAAATTAACCAAAAGGAACAAGAAATGGCTTTAAATGGTCCAGCTATGCTAGCAAATCACAATGGAAAGAAAAGTCACAATCAGTTGCACAGCTGTGATTTTGCACAACCCATCATGAAAGCTTGAGTTTAAGTGACGGCCATTGCTTATGCTTAGCAAGCTACTGATCCTCATGAATGCAAGGGAAAGCTCTTCATTTCAAAAAATTGCTAAAGGTTTTGCAAAAGAAGAGTCTGGGCAAAGAGTGGTGGTAGGAGTTGCTCGCTCATAGCCTTCTTACATGGAGATGTTTGTGCCAACGCATGGATGTCCAGGGGGCAGCCACAGAAATCTGCTTCCCATTCCTTCCATTGACCTTCCTTCCTGTGAGTGAAGAGGGCTGTCACATGGCAATGCCTTCCCATGCCTATAGTTATCTATGGCTGTATAGAACCATGGTCCAATAAGAACACAGGACTATTGTCAAAATTTTCTCCAGCACTTCCTTCTTTTCCCCACCATTCTCCATCAATTAATGAGGAAAGGGAATTGCATTTGAACACAATCATTATTATTATTAAAGGGGGATAAAATCTCAGTGAAATTGTCAGGGGTCTGGTACAGGGCTTTTGTCATTCTTAGCTTACTTTCAAGGTGGGCTAGGGTGCTTGTGGGTGTCCTGCCTTTCAATCAACAAATCATCTCACCAGTAGCCTGTGCTCTGCAGGATTCTTGGGTGCCCACATTTCAATTAAAGCTCAGTGAAAGATATCCTGGGGCTGTTTCAGATCAGTAAATGTGGGCAGCAGGGTGCCAGGGTGCTTACTGGGAAGGAAACACACATGCCACTCTTGGCCACTCATGGAGCAGAAGTATCAATGGGTATTAGTCATTATGGTTATGCTCTGCCTCCATGTTTGGAGGCAATATCTTTCTGAATACCAGCTGCTGGAAACCACAGGAGGGGAGATTGCTCTTGTGTTCACATCCTGCTTGTAGGATTCCCACAAGCATCTAGGTGGACACTGTGAGAACAGGTTGCTGGATGAAACGAGCCATTTGCCTGGTCCGGCTAGCTCTTCTTATGTTCTTATGCCATGATAAAGTTAGCACAAACCCCAACACCTCCCCAAAGTATATAATAATCCTTAAGAAATTCTCAAAGGGCCTGGGAATGAAGCATAAAAATGAAGCCTCTTTCACGGAGGAAGAAACCCTTTGAGAAACCGGAAGACAGATTGGCACACAGCACTACACAGGGCAGCAGATGAAGTTTTGAGCTCAAACACAAGCATGAAGACATTTCAGAGCAGCGCACGTGTGCATGCACACACACACACTTTGCTGCTCTCCAGCCCTGTGCTCAGTCTCACCTAATTATTTTTCTAACTTGCAGGGAAAATGGGGTTGGTTTTCACTTGGCTGGAGCACTAAGAAAAAGGCATGTTTGTGTGTAGCTGAGCTAATGCCAAGCCATTCTTGGGCATCTGGGCACTAAATTAGAGTATGAGGTGAATGTCAAAGCACACAAGGAAAATGAAGTTTGAGTAGGAGAGAGAGATTTGTGTGAATACCTTGCAATAAGGCCAGCTATGCTCTGCATTGCAGAAGGAAGACTTCTGGAATTGCAGGGGTGGGTAACTTCAAATACTGAAATCTCCACACCATTCCATCTTCCCTGGCCTATTGTAGTTTCACAGCTCCAGAACAATGTGGCTCCAGCCCATTTGAAGATTGCTGCTGAAAGAGTGAAAAGACAGCCAGTTTCTCCAACCTCAAGCCAATTTCCCCCCAGGCTTTGGAATGGGCTAGTTGCAAGGTGAACAATCTTACAGACTTTAGGTTCAACCAAAGGAAGCTGGGAAGCTCCTCTGCAGATATATGCATTGACTTCTAACCAATTCAGCTTGAAACATAGACTTGGATTTGAAATGCCTTTTAATTGTGCACAGAAGCTGGAGTTTTGTTCTTAAGCCAAAAATACTTGAGGTACCATATTCCTACAGGCATCTGGTTGGCTGGAATAGATGGGCCATTGGCATGAACCAGCAGGCTCTTCTCCCCTTACCATTCCTGATGCAGGTCCTCCTTAGGTGCCTTTACTAGGCTAGAATGTGCCCTGGAACTGTGATAAGGCCTCTTGCTTGCCTGGATGGAGGGCAGACATGTGGCCTAAATGGTTATGCCACTCCCCATTTAATCCCCACAACAGCCCTGTGAAGTAGGTTAGGCTGAGAGGCAGTGAGTGGCCCAAGGCCACCCAATGAACTTCATGGCTGAATGGGGACTTGAACCCTGGCCTCATAAGTCATAGCTCAATATTTGAACCACTGCACCACACTGGAATGTAGCATTCTATGCAAAGGGTAAGAGTCCCATCCATTGCTCTGAGTGCTGTTACCGATGGCTCTGCCCAGTTTCTCATTGGCCCCTTCCCACCACTGGCATGTGGTCAGCCTATGAGAAAGTGTGGCTCCTAGGTGGAAAACCTTTCCTCCCCCCTGCTGTACTGGCTCATACGATCCTAGCTGAATATAAATCTAGTGAGAGGACCTATGACCCATCCACACACCCAAATTCAGATAGCACGTTTGGGTAGTGTTTTGTAGATAGCCAGGTTTGGCCTGGAGCCAGGGAGGTTGGCAACATAAGAAGAGTTTCACTGGATCAGACCAAGTACCCTCCTAAT